ATCGCTTTTCAAAGATAGGTTTGCTCCTGGAGTCCTTCCTGGCGCTGCCCTTTGAAGGCCCAGCTGGCACCTCGCTGTAAGACGCGGGCGGTCTGCCCCGCAGAGAGGGCTGCCCTGGGCCATACCCCACCCCTTCAGGAAGGGGTCTCAGGTGTGCGGGGGTCTCCTGTGCTCTGTGCCAGGCGACCTTTACCCTCTGAGCTTTCCCGCCGGCTCAGCGTGCTCCCAGGCCCAGGGTCATGGCCGCCGCTGGAGCCAGGGCCTCCCTGGGGAAGCACAGCTAAGCGTTTGCTGAGCCCGAGTGACTCCAGGGGCTCAGAAAGGGGCTCAGGCCGGGCTTGCTTCCCGGCGGAGGTGACATCTGAGCAGGGTTTGGACCCTGAGCAAGGAGGTGGCCCGCAGACAGGGTGGGGAGGGCATCCAGGTGGACACCAGGTGTGCGACGGTGCAGGGCGTGAGGGAGTGGGACGGCAGCCCGGCACCTGCAGAATCCCGACAGCGGGCGCGGAGCCAGCGGGCACGGAGCCAGCGGGTCGCTGCGCCTGGCAGGGGCCCCGGAGGAACACCAGTCCCCGTGTCCTGTAAGCGGGAACACCGCGTGCTGCAGGGACCAGAGGGACATTTCTTTTGGGAGGAGCCGTTTCTGAGCTCAGCGATTCTTCCCCCTCTTCATCTCCTGGCACACACCGGCTAATTACTAAAATTCTGAGCACACCAAAAAATACATTTTTTGCCGATCTGACAAAAAAATAAGAGTAATTTTGAGACATTCATATCAAATGGCTATTGTTGTGTTGGCTATTATATATATAAAATATGTATACATATATATATACACACACTCTTTATTTGTAAAATATATGTATTGTTTTCAGAGAGGAAAGGAGATGGAGAGAGAGAGAAGTATCAACGATGAGAGAGAATTAATGATGGGCTGCCTCCTGCACACCCCCACTGGGAATCAAGCCTGCAATCTGGGCATGCGCTCTGACTGAGAATGGAACCGTGACCTCCTGGTTCACAGGTCGGTGCTCAACCACTGAGCCACATGGGCCGGGCTGTTGTAATTTTTTTATTATTATTAGACAGTCTAAGGGAAAAGAGGTCAGTGTCTCTGACTAAATAGTAAGGTTTTGCATGTTTTAAAAATTGTTGGGGCACACCTCTTGAATGTCCTAGACTCACCAATTCACAGAGCCTACCCCATGCTGCATAATAGTTGAATGTACTTAGCATCGCTTAACGCCTAAGATGGTTGGGGTCATGAATTTTAGGTTTCATATACGTATCAATAAAAAAATAAAATAAAATAAATAAAAATAAAAAAACACAAACCACTCAAACTTGTTCCCAGATAACTTTCCGAAGAAGAAATTTATTCTGCGCAATATACAGGCGATGCATTATAGAATTGCACACCTGAAACCGATACCATTTTATTGACCAGAGTCACCCCAATACATTCAGTTAAAAAATGTAGATGTAGTTTGGGCACAGCGCAAGGTGGATTTCTTCACCTAGGCCAGTGGTCGGCAAACTCATTAGCCAACAGAGCCAAATAGCAACGGTACAACGATTGAAATTTCTTTTTTGAGAGCCAAGTTTTTTAAACGTAAAACTTCTTCTAATGCCACTTCTTCAAAGTAGACTCGCCCAAGCCGTGGCATTTTGTGGAAGAGCCACACTCAAGGGGCCAAAGGGCTGCATGTGGCTCGGGAGCCGCAGTTTGCCGACCACGGACCTAGGACGTCCCGGAGAGCTCCCTGCCAGCGGGCTGTGTGCCTCCCTCCGCGGACGGGTCCGGCCACGGCCACGCAGGCCCGAGGAGGCGCCGGGAAGCTCGGGGCTGCCTGGCCGGGGGTAGGGCATCTGTGGTCAGAGGCCGCAGCGTAACCCAGGCCTGCTGCCTCCCGTTAACAAGCCCCACTTCCGCCCTCCGGGCCCGCCCCTGTGGGGAAAGCAAGTCGGGACAAGGCGTGAGAGCACAAGCTCGCTCTCGGGATGCTCCATGTTGGCAAACGTCGTCGTCAATAAAATGGAGAAGGGAAAGAGGATGGTGTTAGACAAATCCTGCCAACACTCGGCAGAGAGCACGTGCTCGCCCTGCTGCTCACCTGTGCGCGGACCAGGACGCCTGCCTCGTTTCAAGCCAGTTTTTCGTCTTCACGTGACTCCAGCACTGTTCCAGGGAGTGATGGTTGACAGAGAATGGCATTTAGGTGAAGGGACTCGCACTGGCTGGATTCCCACGGGGCTGTGTGACCTGAGGCTGTTCCCTGTCCCTCTCTGCTCCCCAGTCTCCCCTTCGGTGACGTGGGGCTCATACATGTATTTATTTCACAGGGTTCTTGTGAGGCCAGGTAGAGCCCCGTGTAGGAGAAGGCTTGTTCACAGTCAGCTGCCCATCACACATCAGTAGGGATTGCTCGTTATTATTCAAGATGAGTAATACGAATGTCATTCATCAGGGGCACTCGGCAAACATCTCCTAAAGCTGCCCCCCGACCCCAATCTTGCTCCGTGGCATCCATCGCTTTAGTCGGCTTTTCGTGAGCACCCGCTAGGGGCTGGTGTGGAAACGCTGCTGGTTCACACCGGCAGCCGCCTTTCCCAGCCAGGCCCGCTGTGGCATCACCGGTCGCCGGATGACGTGGACCGAGCATTTCCCCATCACCACGCGGCACAGGCGGGGCCCACAGAAAGCCACGAATGAGCCGAAACCGGTGTGGCTCAGCGGGTAGAGCGTCGGCCTGCGGACTGAAGGGTCCCAGGTTCGATTCCCGGTCAAGGGCATGCACCTTGGTTGGGGGCACATCCCCAGTAAGGGGTTGTGCAGGAGGCAGCTGATTGATGTTTCTCTCACATTCATGTTTCTAACTCTCTATCCCTCTCCCCTCCCCTCTGTAAAAAATCAATAAAATTTATTTTTTTAAAAGAAAGCCACAAATGAAACCACAGCCGCGGCGGGCAGCACTCCATGGTACTGGCCAAGCTGAGCCAGAGCCCTACCCAGGGGCAGCACATCCCAGGAGCGGGGGTGGCAGGAGCGCCAGCCGGGGTAAATACTGTATTTTTCGGACCATAAGACGCACTTTTTCCCCCCCAGAAGTGGGGGGGGGGGGGGAAGTCCCTGCATCTTATGGTCCAAATATAGCCTACACATATACTTTTAAAAAAAAGTTTTTTTACTTGCCCGGCTCTGTGTGGTCTCTGTGTGCTTGCCCAGCTCTGAAATGGTTCTAAATGCTGCTGTTTACTTTACAGCACATGTGTCAAACACAAGGCCCGCGGGCCAAATCCGTCCCGCCAGGCCTTGCAATGTGGCCCGCACCGCGCTGTCATCACTGCACTCCGCTGCGTTTCCATCACAATGACAGTTTATGACTGTTCAGTAAACCATTCGGCCCGCGATTTAGGCTGGATTTTAGATTTTGGCCCCTTCTCTGATTGAGTTCGACACCCCTACTTTACAGGGTTGATTACATGTGTTTATGACTGTGATGTTGGGTTTTAATGCACATAAAATATTTTAGGACACTATTTGTTTCCGAATCTTTTTTTCTTCATTTCCCTTCTCTGAAAACTGGTGCGTCTTATGGTCCGGAGCGTCTTATGGTCCGAAAAAATACGGTAGTCCTGACTGTCTTCTTAGCATCCCCGAGGCGGAGTGATGGCTGGAAGCAGACGGTGCAGCCCCGGCCCCGCCTCTCGCTGGCTCAGGCTCAGGAACCTTTCTCCACTTCTCTGGGCTGAGGGCGCCTGGGTAGCCGTGCCCAGTGTGAAGGAGAGCTCTGAAGATTCAGTGCGAGAACGTGTCTGCAGAGTCTGGCCCACGCCTGGCGCGCACACACACACACACACACACACACACACACACACGTTTCTCATTGCTCCAGGCCCTCCCCCTCCCCCTCCCCCGGATGCCTGCACAGGAGCCGTGTTTACTCCTCAGCCCGCCAGAGCCACACGTCCTGAGCGCCCGGCGGCAGCTTCCCCCCCGGCTGCCGTCCTGGGCGCGGGCCGGTCAGGCTGGGTTAGGATAGGCGGCCACGACAAGCAGCCTCGCTGGGTGGTGAGCGTTTACTTCTCACGCGGGCTGGGCTGCCTGTCCCTCAGGGGTGGCTGGGATCCGAACTCCGGGACCGCATGGGCGGAGAAGCTGCGGTCCGGGGCAGAAGGAGGCGGACCGTGTGAGTCACGCATCGTTCGAGGCTCTTCCGTCCCACTTCGAGGGGGCGGGGCCTCCACGCCTGCCAGGGCCTCGGAGAAGGACCCGGTATCTGAGGGCCGCGCCCATGACCCCGCAGCCCGCTTTAACCTCAGGCGCCCCCCCACGAGGGTGTCACCTCCCCGGACCCCGCGCAGCAGTCTCTGCGATGTTGTCGATCGGGTCCGATCTCTCCCGTTCATTCCTTCCAGCGTCAGAGGCGTCTCTCGCCCTCGGAGAGGTTTCTGTTTTTGGACCTCGGTTCCCGCTCCTCCTCGGTCCCAGGGCGGCCCACGCCTTCCTCTCGCTGTGCTTCCGACGCCACCCCGTAATGGTCCGCTTCCTCTTCGGCCGCCTCTGTAATGGCTGTCGCCGGGCCCTGAGCTGTCTGCAGAGCCAGCCTGGGAGCGCTGAGTGGGGTGGGGCGGTAGGGGGGGGTGTCACAATTGGGTCTCAGTGGTTTGGTCCTTATCACCACCCAGCAGGTCTTAGGAGACAGAATGGCCTGCCACCCGTGCACTGCTGGTGGCCCCGGGGGTGTGGCCGCCGTGCAGGCCCTGTGGCTGGTGACCCCTGGGAGGCCCTGGAGTGGCCACGCCCGGCTCTGGGCCTTCCCCGACCGGGCAGCTTCACGGAGACCCTCGGTCCCATTGACACGGACTTACCGTGCGTGTGGGCCTCTGGAGAGCTGCACGGAGCGAGCGTTAGGGTGTCCGGTCACACGTGTCATATAATTCCTTCCCGTGTCAGAGGTGCACGTGTCACATCTCTCGGTATTTTTCTCCCCTGGCAGATGCAGATGTTGGACAAGTTTCCCATGGAAGGGGGACAGAAGGATCCCAAACAGCGGATCATCCCTTTCCTGCCAGGTGGGTGAGATGTAAACTCTGAGAGAGGGCCTGGAGGCGGGGGGGGGGGGGGGGGGGGTCGAGCGTTGCTCTGGATCTCTGGCTGGTCCTCCGTGGGGCCCTGTCCCAGGGACCAGACACTCCCCCTCTGGGAGCCTCAGTTTCTCCTGCCTCTAAAATGAGGGTGATTAAGCGCGTAATGTTTTATAACGAGCGGCATCTCGTATGGCTGCTCTGTCATTTTTCTGTTGCTCCGTGACAAATTGCCACCCGGTTAGCAGCTTACAATGGCACCCATTTGTTCTCTCCCAGCTCTTCTGGCCGGAAGTTCCAGAGGCCTCCACGGGGTACTCTGACTTAGCGTCTTCTAAGGCAACATCAAGGTCGTGGCTGGGTCTGGGGCAGAATGCAGTTCCTGCCGCTCTAATCCGGTTTGAGACGCCGGTTTTCTTGCTCGCGTCAGCCAGGCTGCCTGCATCCCCGCTCTGTGGCCCCTCCATCCGCAGGCCGGCAGCGAGGCACCGAGTCTCTCTTGGGCTTTAAATGTCTCCAGCTGCCCCGGCTGCTTACCCCCCCACCCCCCTGCAGAAGGAGCTGCCTGCTTTGAGGGACTCATGTGATTGTGTCGTACCCGCCAGGATAATCTTGAAAAGAAACCGTGTCCTGAAGCAATCCCATCATAGTCACGGCTCAGGGGTCCGGGTGGGCCATCTTGGGGGGGGGGGCATTATAGAAATTCCACCTGCCTTCCTGCCACGGACTTTCCGAGGGCCGGGCCCCACTGCAGGCGCTGTGGAGGAGTTAGCGTAATGAAGGCGTCCGTGTCCCTTCCCTCCTAAAACATTCCTCACCAAAGGAGTGGCATCAGGCCTCAGCTCAGAAGGTTCTATTCCTAGCTGGTTAGGCCCAGTGGATGGAGCGTGGCCCTCAGGCGCAGAGGTGTCCGGAGGGTCGGTGAGCTCTGGCGCAGGCTGGCAGCCGTCAGGGCGGACGGTCGCCTTTATGTACAGAGCCCCGCAGACGACACCGCCCCAGTCACACGCACTCTGAGCGGAAAGGACCCTTCCGACCTTCCTCATTCTGCAGAAGAGGGAGCAGGCCCCACAGCGGGGGAGACTCCCGGGTCACTCAGGCGCCTAGGCTCCCTCCCCCACTCCAGGGCCTCCCCTCCCCCACTCTAGGGTCCCCCCTCCCCCACTCCAGGGCCCCCCCTACTCCAGGGCCCCCCCCCCCCCCCTCTAAGGTCCCCCCTCCCCCAGTCCAGGGCCCCCCTCCCCCACTCCAGGGACCCCCTCCCCCACTCCAGGGACCCCCACTCCCCCACTCCAGGGTCTCTCCCCCCACTCCAGGGCCCCCCTCCCCCTCTCCAGGGCCCCCTTTCACTCTCCAGGGTCCCCCTCCCCCTCTCCAGGGCCCCCCTCCCCGACTCCAGGGCCCCCCCTCACTCCAGGGACCCCCCTCCCCCTCTCCAGGGCTCCCCTCCCCCACTCCAGGGTCCCCACACACACTCCAGGGCCCCCCTCCCCCACTCCAGGGTCCCCCTCCCCCACTCCAGGGCCCCCCTCCCCCACTCCAGGGTCCCCCTCCCCCACTCCAGGGTCCCCCCCACTCCAGGGCCCCCCTTTCCCACTCCAGGGTCCCCCCCCCACTCCAGGGTCCCCCTCCCCCACTCCAGGGTCCCCCACCCCCACTCCAGGGTCCCCCCTCCCCCACTCCAGGGACCCCCTCCCCCTCTCCAGGGCCCCCTCCCACACTCCAGGAACCCCCCTCCCCCACTCCAGGGCCCCCCTCCCCCACTCCAAGGTCCCCCTCCCCCACTCCAGGGTCCCCTCCCCCACTCCAGGGCCCCCCCCACTCCAGGGCCCCCCTCCCCCTCTCCAGGGCCCCCCTCCCCCCCCTCCAGCCCCCCCCACACACTCCAGGGTCCTGCGGGGGGCACAGGAGGGGGCTCTCCCAGGTGCCGCCCGGGGAGCGGGCGTGGAGACTGGGCCGAGGGGTTTTCCAGGCCCCCGTCCGCTGGGAGGCTCGTTTGCCTAAAACGGCGCGTGTTTTAGTTCTTCCACGGGGGGAGTGTGCAATCACGCTGGGATTCTCTCCCGTTGGAGAAAAGCCGAGTGCCCGCGGCGGCAGCCAAGAGCCCGCGTCCCCGCGGGGCCTCGCCGTCCCCGGCCATAAAACGGGACACGGCCCTGCCTCCCACGCTTCTCCCGGACACACAGTCAAGGCAGAGCCAGGGTCCCGCGACTTTCCTTCGGAGCTTCTCGGTATTTCATCTCTTGGAGGCATTGCTTAAGTGCTCGGCCTGAACACTCACATGGGACTGGGCTCTCTCTGCACGTGGGTTTTTTCTCGCCCTAGCCGGTGTGGCTCAGTGGGGAGAGCGTTGGCCCGTGGACTGAAGGATCCCAGGTCCATCCCGGCCGTGGGCACGTGTCTTGGTTGCAGGCTCGATTCCCGGCCCCGGCCGGGCACATGCAGGAGGCAGCCAGTCGATGTGTCTCTCCCACTGATGTTGCTTTCTCTCTGTCTCTCCTCCTCCCTTCCACCCTCTCTAAAAATCAACGGGAAAATATCCTCGGGTGAGGATTGACAACAACAACAACAACAAAATTAAATGTTAGGTTTTCCTCCAAAGCGGTGAGGTATCAGGCTTACTATCTGACGAAAGGCAAACCCAGCCAAAACCAGTGTGGCTCAGTGGATAGAGTGTCAGCCTGCGGACTGAAAGGTGCCAGGTTTGATTCCGATCGAGGGCGTGTACCTTGGTTGCAGGCACATCCCCAGTGGGGGGCGGGAGGGGGGGTATGCAGGAGGCAGCTGATCGATGTTTCTAACTCTCTCCCTTCCTCTCTGTAAAAAAATATATTAAAAAACGAAGAAGAAGAAGAAAAGAAAGGCGAACCAGCTCTGGAAAAACTTCCCAGGAAGGGAAAGAACTTGAGCCCACCCTCCCCCAGCCCCTGGAAGCTTTTCTGATTACGTAATTCTCTTCCACCCACGAATTCATGAAAACGCAGCCCCTTGTCCCTGCTCAGGGCACCCCTGCAGCTGGGAGAGGCCCCGCCGGGCCCCCGGGCCGCCTCTGAGCTTCCCCTCGCCGCCGAGGCCGAGGGCAGGGGCCTGGGGGAGAGGGTCCCCCTCCTAAGGTCCCTTTTCTGCCCGCCACGTCAGCAGAACAAAGCGAGTCCCGTGAGCACAGAGGCGGGGGGAGGGGAGCCGCCCGCCCAGGCCTCCTCCCCGGCCAGAGCCCGGCCAGCCAACTTGGCAGCGGCCGCTGCTTGAAAATTAAAAATTACAGTCTGGCCTCTTCCACTGCGGAAAACAAAGGGCCGTTCTCCGCCCCAGGAGGGCTGGCCCGCAGCGAGGGAGGGGGCGGAGGGAGGGCTGGCCCGCGGCGAGGGAGGGGGCGGAGGGAGGGCTGGCCCGCGGCGAGGGAGGGGGGCGGAGGGAGGGGGCGGAGGGAGGGCTGGCCCGCGGCGAGGGAGGGGGGCGGAGGGGGCCCGGCGGAGGGGGGGGGGCTGGCCCGCGGCGAGGGAGGGGGGGGCGGAGGGAGGGGGCGGAGGGGGGGCTGGCCCGCGGCGAGGGAGGGGGGCGGAGGGAGGGGGCACGTTCCCTCTCTTCCCCGTGACTCAGCCCAGGAACGCTTTACCTTGGATGCAGACGAGGGGTCCGGCCCCGCCAGCCTTTCCCCCGGAGGGACCGGCCACCCCGTGCGGCTGCTCACGGGACGCCAGCTCTGCTGCCCGTCCACGGCCGCCTAGCCAGCGGGTGGCAGGACTTCAGAAGCAGAGCTGGGGCCCTAGCCGTGTGGCTCCGTGGATAGCACGCTGACCTGCGGACTGAAGGGTCCCGGGTTCGATTCCAGTCGAGGGCATGTGCCTGGATTGCAGGCTCCGCCCCTGGCCCCCGGTCAGGGCTCTTGCGGAGGGCAAGCGATCTGGGCCTCTTCTCAGATCAGCGTTTCTCTCTCTGTGTGACTCTCCCCCTCCCTGCCGTTCTCTTTAAAAATCAATGGGAAAGTATCCTCAGGTGAGGACTATCGGAAAAAAAACACACACACACACAAGAAAACAGAGAAAAGAAACAAAGCTGGGAGCAGAGTGTGATGCAGTATCACCTAAACGGTTTGAAAATAAAACAGAAGCCAAAACCGGTTTGGCTCAATGGATAGAGCGTTGGCCTTTGGACTAAAGGGTCCCGGGTTCGATTCCGGTCAAGGGCATGTACCTTGGTTGCAGGCACATCCCCAGTAGCGGGTGTGCAGGAGGCAGCTGGTCGATGTTTCTCTCTCATCGATGTTTCTGACTCTCTATCCCTCTCCTCTCTGTAAAAAATCAATAAAACATATTTTAAAAAATAAATAAACAGAAAAAATCACGCCCCTCCCGTGAGGGCTGAGCCCCGCGCTGGGTTGAATGGAGATTGTCTCCGTGGAGAGATGCGGCTGCCCGTGTCCCACGGCAGCACCGTGGACACTCGGCTCCCGTCCCCCTCGCTGGCCGCACACCTGACGTGCGCCCAGAGCCCCCTGTCCCACGGCCGCTGCACAGGGAGGGGAGGGAGGCCGTTGTCATTGTGTCACACCCCCTCCCGGGACCCTGGCGGAGCCTGCGCCTCCGTCCTCAGCTGTCAGCACACGGTGAGGACACGGAATGGACAGAGGCCAGTGGGTCCCTATCTGGGCAGAGCCCACGCCTGGTAGGGAAGGAGGCGAGCAGATGGATAGCGTGGTGTGTGCCGTCAGCGATGACGGGAGCTGTCAGCCCAGTGAACAGGCCCTAGTTTCCCCCGGGGACGGTGGGCGAGGTTGGGTACTCCACGCAGAGGGAAGGGGCAGAATGGTGAGACAGCGTGGTGTGCTGGGCACGTAGCTGAGAGCAGAGGGAAGGTGGAGGCGGCAGGAGGAGGAAGGGAGCGGGGCTGTTGGGTCAGGGCTCAGCTGCGGTTCGCTGCACCGCCCAGGGCAGCCTGGGGAGCCGGGCGTTGGACCGAGGACCTCAGACCTCCGGTCTACCCTCCTCCTCCGCCGGGCAGGAGCGCCTTCCCTCCGCGGTGTGTCCCTGCCTCCTTTCACTCTTCGGAACCTTCCCCCGGCCCCACCCGCCAGCCTTGGCACTAGAACTGTGAGCCGGGGGACCTGCCTGGGGTCATCAGGCCCCGGGGGTCTCCAGCAGGGGGTAGAGATGGCAGCCAGGGATTTGGGTACCACTCAGGCCTACAGGAGGCACGCACATCACACCCCCCCGGTGCTGCGAGCTGGTCGCCGCTCCTGCCAACGCCCTGTGTGCTCTCCTCTGCAGGCAAAATCCTCTTCCGGCGAAGCCACATCCGGGACGTGGCCGTCAAACGCCTGATACCCATCGATGAATACTGCAAGGTAAGCCTGAGAGCGGCCAGCAGCCCCTGCCTGCGTCTGCCCTTTTCCTTTCCTGCTGTAAGATGCTTGTTATGAAACTCTGTACAGTCGAAAGAAATTTAAAAAAAAAAAATCCTCCATAATCTTTCAACTCAGAGGCAACAAGGATGAAGGTTTGTGCATATTTTCTTTATTTTCTCTCCTGCACGTGTTTCTTTATGGTGTTGAGACCATCCCATTGGTGTTGTTTTCGTTGCTTTTTCTCTTTCCTTTAATACTTAATTCGAGGGACCCGGTGCATGAATTCATGCATGGGTGGGGTCCAGCCAGCCCGCCCCCATTGGGGCCATTCGGGCTGGGCCAGCCAAGGGGAGGGGCCCTATGCAATTGGCCAGCTAGCCCCGCCCCCTTGTCGAACTGCCGGTCAAGGGGACAATTTGCATATTAGCCTTTTATTATATAGGATAAGAATTTCCCATGCAATTAAAAATCTTCTTGAGCCTACATTTAGTGGCTGCATAGTATCCCTCTGTGCATGAATGACCCAAAGCTATTGAGCCACCCCTGTTGTTGCATATGGCAGCTGAAGGGTCCCCAGTTCAGTTCCAGTCAAGGGCGCATGTCTGGGTCACAGGCTGGACCCCCAGTGGTGGGCATGCAGGAGGCAGGCAGTCCATGATTCTCCCTCATCATTGATGTTTCTCTCTCTCTTTCCCTCTCCCTTCCTCTCTGAAATCAGCAAAGATATATATATATATATATATAGTTTTTTTTTTAAAGCTACAGTGATCAAGATAGTGTGGTATTGTCAGAAGGAGAGGCATACAGGTCAGTGGGACAGAATTGAGAGTCTAAATTCTTATAGGCAACTGGTTTGCAGCAAAGGTGCCCCAAAATCCAATGGGAAAGAACGTTTTTAACAGTGTGGGTTACTGTGATATCCAGATGCAAAAAAGCAGTACTTGGACCCTATCCTCACATCATGCAGGCGGCATCAACTCAAAGTGGGTCACAGAACTAACCATAACAGCCAAAACTATAAAACTTCTGGAAGGAGAAAACCTTCGTGACCTTAGTTTCGGCAAAGAGGTCTTAGAAGGGACACTCCAAAAGACAAGCATGGATAAACTTACACACTTCTGTACCCCCGTGCCAGGAAGCAAGTGAAAAGATGTGCCACAGGTTAGGAGAAAATGTTTATCAATCCTGTATCTGATAAGGTACTTACATTGAGACTACATAATGAACTCTTGCAACTCCGTAATAAAAGGACCACCCGGCTTACAAACGGACAAAAGATTTGAATAGAAGGAAGCTCTCCCATGGTGAACAAGCCCTTGAAGAGGTGTTCAGCATCGTTAGTCATTGGGACAGCGCAACATAAAGCTGTAAGGAGATACCTGCACGGCTGCTAGATGGGCCGTAATCGGCAGGACAGACAAGACCAAGAGGGACGGAGGCGCAGAAGGCGCAGAAACCGGAGCCTTCGTGCTGCTGGAACCGCGGCGGGAAGCCGTTTTGGAAAACAGCTTGGCGGTTTCTTCAAAAGGAAAATTTATCACACGGCCACTCCTAGGTGTATACTCAAGAGAATGAAGAACTTATCTCCACACAGATGCAAATGTTCACAGCAGTATTAATTCCTAACAACCCACAATCCAATCCGGATGTCCATCATGAGGTGATGAGGTAAAACGCAGGGAAGTACTGATAAGTGTTGCAATGTGGGTGAGTCTCAAAAAACATGGAAAGAGCCAGATGCAGAAGAGTGCACAGGGCATGACTTCAAGTGTGTGAAATGTGCAGAGGAGGCAGAATGGGAGAGCCGAGAGCAGGCCAGCGGTTTCCAGGGCTGGGCGGTGGGTGTGGAGACCCGATGCGAATTAGGCTGGGACAAGCTTTTGAGGTGATGGAAGGACCTAAAACTAGACTGTGGTGATGGCTGCTCCACTCTGTAATTTACTGAAGAGGGCTGGATTTAGTGTGCTTACGTCGGCTGGTTTTTATGGCGCATAAATTACACTTAAATAGGGGCTCAGCCCATCTGGTCTCCCAGATGACCTAATAAATTCATAATCCCTTACCAAAAAGAATTTTTAAATAAATGTAAAAATGTGAAGGGGGGGCTGTGAGAGGATCAAGTCTCTCGTGGCCAGAGACCTCCTGGGAGGGTAGACAATCACCCTCGATGGCTTGTCTGCTCTTTGCCAGACATGACCTCGTTTCCTCTCCCCAGAACCTTGACAGGAAGGTTTTACTGTTCCGTTGTGTAGAGGAGGACATGAAGCCCAACAAAGCAACTCACGGTAGCAGTATTGGCGGGTTTGGGTGAGGAATTGGGCCTCTCTAGAAAGTAAAAATTCAAGAGGCCGGAATATTTAAGCATGTATTTCCCAGAGGCAGCTACGCTCCGGCTCCACTCTCCTTAGGAAGGGGCGGGGGGGAGGGGGGGAGACAGGGACAGGCACCAGGTGCAGACACCACTCCTGTCCCCCAGCCTCAGAGCCACGTACGTCCCCAGCTTTTCTGCTTTGGACCTTGGGTCGCTTCAGCCGGTACTTTCCCCCGAAGCTGGTCTCTGAGCCCAGCGTGCACGCTCCTGCTTCTCCCCCAGCCTGGTTCTGGCTCGGCCATGTCCCCTGCCTGCCTGAGGCCCTGTTCTCTGGAGCATTGTTCCCTGCAGCCAGGACGCGGGTGGGAGCAACCTAAACGTGGTGTATACATGCACTCAAATACTGGCCGGTGGTTCCGTTGGTGGGAGCATCGTCCTGTACACCGAAAGGTCTCGGGTTCAATCCCCAGTCAGTGCACACACCCAGACTTCCCGTCCCACGATCCCTGGTCGAGGCACCCATGGGAAGCAGCCGATCCAATCCACGTTAATCTCTCACATCAGTGTTTCTCTCTCCCTCTCCCTCCTCCCTTCTTCTCTCTCTAAATTCAATGGGAATATATCCTTGGGTGAGGATTAACTAATAACAATAATTTTTTTAAAAAGAGAAGGAAACCCCACCACCTGTGACAGCCTGGGTGGCCCTTGAGGACATTGTGCTGCATGAAATGCGCCCGTCACAGAGACACAGACGCTGTGGGGTTCTGCTTGTCTGTGGTTTCTGGAAGAGTCTGATTCTTAGAACGAAGAAGTGGAATGGTGGGCGGGGGCTGAGGGAGGGGACGGCGGGAGTTACTCACCAGCAGGCACAGCGTTTCCGTCAGCAGGATGCAGAAGCTCAGAGATTCCCAGTACACCAGCCAACAGCACCGCGCCGTGTGCTTAAAGTGTGTGAACGGGGAAGATCCCGTGCTAAGTGCTCTGACCCCAGTAGAAGAAGATTTTCAGCTATAAAGAGAGAGAAGTGTTGACTCTCGGGGGCATTCCTTTTGAAGTGGAAGAGGACTGGAGAGCCCGGGGAAACGGCCGAGCCCAAGCCTCGTTACTTACCACAGCCATCTTGCTGACTCGAGAGTCCTCCCTGGAGGCCACCACAGCGTTGTGCTTGCTGCAGTCCAGCCAGCCCGGCGGTGAACACATGGGCACCGAGCACCTGCACACGCTGGGACCCCGCAGCCACTTCCCCGCCTGTGCTGTAGCTCAGTCCCCCAGATGGGTTGGTTATTTCCGTTTTACGGAGGAGCACACGGAGGGTCAGCAAGGCGCGGGACTGGCCAGAGCCAGGACCAGGCGCTGGGTCTGTCCGACCTTTCCTATCCCCCTCGGCCAGTAGGACTTGATCTCCTCTCTGCCCTACGACCAGCCACCTCTGCCCAGGGCCAGCGTCCACCCAGGACAGAAGGTTTTCGGGGAACTGGTGGCTGGACTTCGCTGACCAACCACGAGGCGCCTGGCCTCTCCCAGAAGCAGGACTCCTTCCCTGCCCCGGCCACGCTGTCACTGTCGCCGCCCGTCCTTCCGCCCCGGAGGGCGCACATCCCAGCGCCCGGTGCTGCCGTGCGTTAGTGACTGGGCTCCTTGCGTGGTTGGGGGTTTGGTTTGGCTTTGACTTCCTAGGAATTGCTCAGAACCGAGAGAGAACTTGGCGCAGGTGGGAGGTTTCCGTGGGGCTCGCCGCCCCGTTCAGAGCCTCCGCCTGTCTCAGCAGGGAGCACCCGGGAGGCCCCCCTGGGCGGGGACCCTGGCACCTCAGGGCCCACCCAGCTGGCCCCACACAGGGCCGTGGGGCCACCTCGGGCCTCTTCCCCGGTCTCTTGTCCAGTGGGTTCTTTCCACCCGGTATGGGTCTCCCCAGCGGCGTCTGGACATGCACATGCCCCCGCCCCTTGGGTTTGGGATGGAAGTCCTGGGCATGACCCCCGAGCGTCCACTCCCCATCTCTGAAAGGGGCCAGCCCTCCGGGAGCTCGGGAGGCAGCACCGGCGACCGCAGTGCGGGGCCTCCACGTGCTGAGCCGACGTGAAGGACGTGTTCCTGCCGTCCGGGCCCGGCCGTGCGGTTCTGCCCATGAGGCGGCCGGGACGCGCCCCGGCCAGCGTGTCATCAGCGTCTTCGCCGTGCGGCTCCGACCGCGGGGGCTGCAGGATCTCAGAGGACAGACACCCCCGCCCCTCGGGGCCCGGGACGCAGCTCAGCCTGAGCGGAGCGGGAGCCCAGGCTGCTCTGAGCCAGAAAGGGGGGGGGGGGGCGCGGCAGCAGGAGGCGGTCGGAAGGGGGGCAGTTAGGAAGGGGCAGAGCTCTCTCCCTCTTGGGCTCTCTGCCTCTGGCCTGGGGCAGCTCGGAGCCTGGGGGTTTGCTGGAATAGGGATCACGCGAAGCTAATGCAAAACGGGAATGAGCCGCCCCTACGGGGTCAGCAGCCTCCAGCCCCGGAGGGAGTCGGCAGTGACCAGGGAAGGCGCCTCCCTAAAAGGTGAGGTGCACTCGGCTCTCAGGGTTTCCCACTCGAGGTCCGGGCCAGATCACTCAGGGGCAGGAGGGGCGTGAATCCAGAGCCTGGCTCAAAGGTCATGTGGGTGGAGGTCAGCATCCCCTCAGAGTGCATGATGCACCCATACAGTGGAATATTGTTCAGCCTTCAGAAGACAGGGAATTCCTGAGGACAGGACGCTGTGTAAGAGGCTGGTCACCAGGGGACAGACACCTGCCCTGCCCCTGAGGGCTCCCAGGCTGTGGGAGGGGGCAGGCCAGGCTGAAGGACCCCACCCCCACCAGTGCGTAAATTTTCATGCACCAGGCCTCTAGTAATTAATAAATAGTAGTAGAAAAAATGAAAATAATAATAATAGAAGAATAAACTGTTTTTGCGTGGTCACAACTGTAAACCTACTTTGCCCCCACTCTGTACATCCATGGGGTGGGGGGTGGGGGGCTTGGGGGATCCCCATACCAGCAGCAGCAGCAGCAGCAGCAGCAAGGACTGTTAGAAATGTATGTTCTCACCAGAACCGGTTTGGCTCAGTGATAGAGCATCGGCCTGTGGACTGAAAGGTCCCGGGTTCGATTCCGGTCAAGGGCATGCACCTTAGTTGCGGGCGCATCCCCGGTGGGGGTTGTGCAAGAGGCAGCTGGTCGATGTTTCTCTCTCATCGACATTTCTAGCTCTCTATCTCTCTCCCTTCCTCTCTGTAAAAAATCAATAAAAAATTTTTTTTAAATGTTTAAAAAAAGAAATGCACGTTCTCACCGGAACTGGTTTGGCTCAGTGGTAGAGCATCCGTCTGTGTATTGAAAAGTCCCAGGTTCGATTCCGGTCAGGGGCATGTACATTGATTGCGGGCACATCCCTGGTGGGGGGTGTGCAGGAGGCAACTGGTCGATGTTTCTCTCTCATCGACGTTTCTAACTCTCTATCTCTCTCCCTTCTTCTCTGTAAAAAATCAATAAAATGTATTAAAAACAGGCCTGAATCAGGAAATCTGGGGTGAAGCCCTCGCCATCTGTGCTTTAACCAGCACACCCTCCCTCCCTGCTTCTGCTGCCTTCGCACTCACCCCGTCTCTTCTCCAGGCCCTGATCCAGCTGCCCCCCTACATCTCCCAGTGTGACGAGGTGCTGCAGTTCTTTGAGACGAGACCTGAGGACCTGAATCCCCCCAAAGAGTAAGTTGGTTTGTGGGCCTCCCCGGAGCGTGCCCAGCCAGCCCCAGGCAGAACCAGAGGGAAGCAAAGGAAAAACCAACCGATGCTGTGGTCTGGGCCCCCAGTGGGCCACGCTTCATGCAGCCTCACCCACACCCGGTGGGTGAGACAGTCAGCGTTCACAGGGGAAGGACCCTGACTACGGGCCCCGAGGCCCCTCCCCTCCCACCCTTCCTGCCTCCGTTGCTTCATCTGTGCAGCGAGATCATGTCGCTTGCCCCATCCACCTCATGGGGTTATTGGGGGCCACGTCCCTAGGGCTGGCTTAAATTTTATTCCCTGCCTGGAGACTGTGAGAAGGAGAATCTCAGTTTTCTAACAGACTAACATGTCAACACCCAACAGGTACTGACTCTGGCTCTTTCTCACCATTCTCTCCTTACAGGGAGCATGTTGGGAAAAAGAAATCTGGTAAGAGTATTTTCCATTTTCTCCTATTCATCCAATGTTCAGCAAACCCCCACTAAGCACCTGTGATGTGTGTGCCAGGCCCTGGGCTCCACACCGGGGATGCGGCTGGATGGATTAATGGATGACGGATGGATGGATGGATGGATGGATGGATGAATGGATGTTAGATGGATGGTTGGATACTTGATTAATTGGTTGATACCACATCCTGTTTCCCCCCAAAAAAATGATTAGCGGGTGTTCCATCTTTGGTGAATTTTTATTTATTTATTCTTACTGATTTTAGGAGAAGAAGAGAGGGAGAAACATTGATGTGAGAGAGAAATATCGATTATTGGTTGATTAATTGGTTGATACCACATCCTGTTTCCCCAAAAAAAAAAAAAAAATGATTAGCGGGTGTTCCATCTTTGGTGAATTTTTATTTATTTATTCTTACTGATTTTAGGAGAAGAAGAGAGGGAGAAACATTGATGTGAGAGAGAAATGTCGACTGGCTGTCTCCTGGGTTATAGGTTCAATCCCCTCTTACTGGGGATTGAACCTATAACCCAGGCATCAAACCAGGATCGAACCAGTGAACTCTTGGTGCATGGAACGATGCTCAGTCAACTGAGCCACACCAGCCAGGTGGTTTCCTCTTATACAAAAAAAGTACAGAGTGGGTGAGACCTATCTTTCCCAGAGAACAGTTTGGAGGGGTCTGTAGTGTGTTAACTGCCCCACATTTGTAGTGTGTTAACTGCTCCACATTTGCAAAGGCCCAACCCAACATGTTCTCAGAGTTCCCAGAATTCTAAGTTCTTTTGTTATCTGGGACTCCAGGAAGTTTGAGGAAGTTGATAAAAATGGGGGGAGAGGCCCTAGAAGTAAAAAAGGATGCCCCCTTCCATGGGCCTCGGTTTCCTCATCTGAAAAATGGGGATAACAACAGGATAAATCCACCTACAAGGATGATTATATTACTAGAGGCACATCGCATGAAATTCATGCAAGAGTAGGCCGGCCTTCTCCCAGCTTTGTCTGGGAGGATATCCGGTCTAATTAGCATATCACACTTTTGTTATTATAGACAGTAACACCTCTAAAGCACTCAGTGGGAGCAGTGCCCGGCGTGTTGTAGTTGATACGTGTTTGCTGCTGTCTATTCTGCTGCTGAGAATGCAGAGTCCGGGGGTGGCCTTCAGAGCAGCGTCAGTAGCAGCTTCCACAGCTCTGGTCCCCCCGGCAGGCCCCAGCGCCATTCTCGCCAGGGAGCGTGGAGAGGTCTGGCTGTGGCATGAACTCTGGCCCCGTCCCCAGCAGCCTGTTTACCGCTCCTGTCTGGTCTGACAGGCACTGGCCCCGCTGCAAATAGCCCCAGAGCCCGGGGTAATGACACGTTTCCCAGAAAAGAGCGGAGCGGCCGCTGTCGGCTGGTCACAGAGGTCCCGGCGTCCGGCGTGCAGGCCTTTCCTGGAAGGTGGGCGGGAGGCGGAGGAGGACCGCTCCGGCCTGCGGAAACAGTGTCCCGTCGGGCGGGCTGGGTGAGGGGACTGTCTGGGAGTCAGAGGAGCAGCTCTCATTTGCGGCAGCCGCTGTGGCATCCCCCTGCAATGATGGGGCCGGGTTTATTTATAGTCCCGCCGCTGGAAGAGCATCTTCCTTCCTTCAGACGAAGGGCCCACGCTGGACGTAGCCTTGCTTTTCAGCTGACCTTGGAGCTCGCCCTTGATGTTAGGCCCAGCCTTCTTTTATATATATGTATACATATATAGTAATTTCAGAGAAGAAGGGAGAGGGAGAGAGACAGAAACGTCAGTGATGAGATAGAATCATTGATCGGCTGCCTCCCTGCACGCCCCCTACTGGGGATCGAGTCCGCAACCCGGGCACGTGCCCTTGACTGGAATCAAACCCAGGACCCTTCAGTCCACAGGCCAAAGCTCTGTCCACTGAGACCCAGCCTTCTTGCTGGAATTTGAAAGGGACTTAAGATTGACAGCCAAGCCCTGAGATGTCTGGGCCAGAACGGAGCTGGAGAAGGCTTATCTGTCTCCAGAATTTCCCAGGCCTGGCTGGCGTGGCTGGCTCCTGCAGACTTTGGCTAACGTGGTCTCCAGTTCCGCTCATCCTGCCGGAAAAAACCCTCCCCCAACATGTCACAGGTCGTGTGATTATCTAAGGAGCATCTTTCTTCCTGATTTTCCTACCCTCTTCTTATTTATCTTATTTTTATTTTTATTTTTTTTTTGGTTAATCCTCACCCATTGATTTTTAGAGAGAGTGGTAGGGAGGGGGAAAGACAGAGAGAGAGAAATAGTGATATGAGAGAGACATATCCATTGGTTGTGTCCCAATGAGCCTGACCAGGGCTGGGGATCGAGCCTGCAGCTGAGGTGCATGGCCTTGACCAGAATGGAACCCAGGATCCTTCAGTCCCCGGGCCAACACTATCCATTGAGCCAGACCAGCTGGGACTCTACCCTCTTCTTATTGAGGTATTCTCTCACTTACTGACGCGGAGCAAGACTGGCAGTGTTATGTGGTAGATCTGGAAAGAATAGTCTGCTTTGCTATTTATTGCTCATTGTATTGGTTTGCTGGGGCCGCTTAGAGAGCAGACGCTTGCTCTCTCTCAGAGGTGGAGGGGATGGTTGGGGTCTGGAGAGAGGCCTCTTCCCGGCGTGCAGCCTGCTGCCTTCTCGCCGTGTCCTCACATGTAGAGACGGAGAGCACTCTCCCTGGCCTTCTTACAAGGGCACCGACCCCCGCTTGAGGGTTTCATCCTCATGACCACATTTAATCTAATTTTTTGGTTATCAAGAAATTAGGACCATCACTTAGTGGTTAGACCTTCACCAGATGGCTTTGGGGGTGGAGCAGGGAGAAGAGTCCACTTTTATCCATAGCAGTTATTTTTAAATTTCAAAACATGTCATCTTGAATCAAAAAACATAGCCAGTGTGGCTCAGTGGTTGAGTGTCAACCTATGAACCAGGAGACCACGGTTCAATTCCCGATCAGGGTATATGCCTGGGTTGCAGGCTCAATCCCCAGTATGGGACGTGCAGGCGGCAGCCAATTGATGATTCTCTATCATTATTGATGTTTCTATCTCTCTCCTCCTCTCTGAAATCAATAAAAATGTATTTAAAAACAAAACAAAACATGGCCAACTAGAAAATTCTGGGGGTTAGGCACTTGCTTCTTGAGAATATTTTATAGCATTTCCTGGATGATGAAATCACCCGTCCTCTGTGGGATCTCCTCCTTTCTGCTCGCCTTTTCCTTCTATGTCCACTTTAATGTCTAGGTATTGCCCTTACTGTGCGTTATAGAGCTTGGCTGCAGTATCACAGTCCACCAGCAGGTGTCTCTGCATAACACCTAAATGGCCGGGAGCCTAGTTTGAGAAGCTGGTATGTCAAACCCTGGTGTGCCTGGCTTTGATACGCTGAGCGCTGAGCACTGAGCACGGTGGGTGAAATGCAGGCAGCAGCTCTGGAAGAGCTGGTGTAGAAAAAGCAACCCCACGCACCCTCTTCTGAACCACTCCTTAACAGGGAACGACTCTTGTTCACAGCGAGTCCCATAATTCCCTGATTTTGTCACTGCTTGTAGTTATCCCAGATCCCGTTGGCAGCCTGGTTAGGAGAGTTGGTGCAGAATGGAGAGTTTCTAGAAGTTTCCATTTGCCCTTTGTTCATTCACTTCACAAATGTCCATTGAATGTATCTGTGCTAAGTGCTGAGAGAACAAGACGACCATGGTTATGCATTCCACTAGAGGCCCAGTGCATGAAATTCGTGCACAGTGCGGTCCCTAGGCCTGGCCGGTGATTAAAGCGTGAGCGAATGGCATGGGAGGGCAGGTCCCAGCTGACCTCTGGGCCGCCCCCCTCCGCCTGAGTCATGGTGCCCGAGTCCCCACACGGAGATGCAGTGAGTGCGGCCAGATGCCATGGGCCGCCCAGCAGTGCCACACACAAGCTGGGCAGGCAGCACGCTCTCTCCTGGACAGCCTTGCAGACTGGCTCCTGTGCGGTCCTGGCGGCTGCGGCCCAGCTCACCCAGAAGCCCATTGGGGCCGCCAGCACCTCCACTGCCGCCTGCTGCCAGTGCCTCATCACCTATGCCCGCCATGTTCCGCGCCGCCCCCTGGTGGTCAGCACTCGTCACAGTGAGCAGTCGAACACCTGGTGGAGGGGACAATTTGCATATTAGGCTTTTATTATATAGAACGTTTATTAAGCACCTACTGTGTGCCTGACGGTACTCTAGGTCCCCTGGGAATGTGAAGGTGAGCGAGATCTCGTGGGACGTTTTCTCCCGCGCCTGGAGGAAGGATAGCGGTGACCCTTCACCGGGCTAGCACGCTCTGCTCCGGTTTTCCACATGAAGAACCCGCAGTGGCCGGCTCTAACAGAGCGCTTCTGTGCTGCTCTGGACGCCCGGGCCGGAGTGCAGGGCGTGCTGGGAGCGACCTCACAGGCAGCTTCTGGTGGTCACCCGGCTTTGTAGCATGTGCCAGCTCCGCGGTAGCAGTGCTCCCACCGCGGCCCATTGCAAGCGACCCACTGGACGCCACCCGAGAGAGTCGGGGAGAGGAGCAGGAAACGGGCTCGGTGTGAGCCGCCCCCGCCCCCGCCACGGGAGTGTTGGGACAGACTGCGGGGTTCCGGGATGTTCCTGTTGTTTATGGAGACAAGAGGAGGTACTGTCTTGGATCAGAATGTGCAGGGCACGAGGGCCCGGTGGCCACAGATGTCACACGGCCCTCCCACCGCGGCCAGCCTGCTGCTCCAGACGTGCGGTCCCCTGCTCTGGGGCCCGTCTGGACTCGTCTGACCTTTCACACCACACGTGGTCTGTGGTCTCTTTCCGTTTATCTATCAGATCGTCTGAGATCTGACCCAGGGCCGCCCAGCTCACCGCCCACACTGGACACTGCGGCCTGGGAAGTGGCCTCTCCTAGGGCCCCTCCTCCCCTCCCCCCTCCACCCCTCACTCTGCCCTGGAACAAAGCTCTGGCCTAACAGCTTCGTGACCTCCATCTGGTTCTCCTGCTTCTTTTGCTTTTCCTGTTTTTTTGTTTTGTTTTGTTAAGCCTCACTCAAGGATATTTTTCCATTGGTTTTTAGAGAGAGTAGAAGGGAAGGTGAGAGAGAGAGAGAGAGACACGTCGATTGGTTGCCTCCCACACATAGCCCTGGTTAGGGCCGGGGATCAAACCTACAACCAAGATAGGTACCCTTGACCGGAATTGAACCTGGGACCCTTCAGTCCATAGGCTGGTGCTCTAACCACTGAGCAAAACTGGCAAGAGCTGGTCTGCTTTCTTCCTTGCCAGCCTCTAGCCCATTCTCCATGAGGCAGCCAGAGTGATCTTTTTAAAGATCAGAGTGTTACTCTCTTCTTAAGTCCCTTTCTTGGTTCTTTAGGGGTTAAAAAAAAAAAAAAGTGTTTGAAGTCCTCCCTTCTGGGCCTCAGGCACCCTGGCCTCCCTCCCGGCCCTGGAAGGCTCCAGGCCTCCCCCCGTCACAGACACAGCCGGCCTGCCCCGTTCCCTCCCCATTGTCCTCCTGGCTCCTGGCCTCGGGTCTCTGCTTTATGTCACTTCCCGGGGAGGTCTGCTGACCATCCATCCCATTAACGTAGCACTCCCTATCTTGTTTATCCTGTGTTTCCACAAAAGCATGTATCCAAAATGAATACTATTTTCCTACATGCTTATGGATCCCACGCACTGAAAATGTGTCTCTCACCCCAACTAGACTAGGTTCAAGAATTCTCGGAGTCCTGTCTGTTTCGTCCACTCTAGCACCCCCAATCAGCACCTAATAAGAGTGTCTCGAATCTCATTGGTGACCCCATGAATTAATAGATGAGTAAGTTTGGGTGGCTTAATTCACAACTTCATGGTTGGTGAATGATTGGGAAAATGAGTGACGGATGATAGATGGATACACGTTTGGTTGGATGGATGACGGATGGGTGAATCGTGGCTGATGCTGAATGGGTAGAGATGAGTGAATGAACGTTCCCCGTAGGCTGTCTGCTTCTTCAGGGAAAGTACCAGATCTTGCTCTGATCCTCCCATGCCCGGCACAGGGCCTGCACAGGACGGGCACATGGTAAATTGTGGTGGTCGAGTGAGCAAATGAATGGGAGAATGAATGGCTGAGGCGAGTCCTCTAACAGCTCCTCCCTCTGTGTAGAACGCTCTCCTGGCCTCCCCTCCTCCCAGCTCCTGCTCCTGTACACCGGGCGGGGGCCAGCTGTGGCATCTGATGGGGTTTTACATCCACAGGGAGCGACCAGACCTCGGCGGACCCCATGGTCCTGGAGCAGTACGTGGTGGTGGCGGACTACCAGAAGCAGGAGAGCTCGGAGATCAGCCTCAGCGTGGGGCAGGTGGTGGACATCATCGAGAAGAACGAGTCAGGTGGGCACCCTGACCACCCCTTTCCCCGCCCACCCCCCTCCCCAGGCCCCTCGGTCAGGAACACGGGGACGCGCAGAGGCTGTCGCCAGTCAGGCCGGCCCGTTTGACCCCTGTTGGGTCCCAGCGCTCAGATCTCCTGCTTGGGTCAGGTGTTACCCATGCGTTTTGAGGTTCACTTTCACGAACATTCCTCCTGGCTTCAGAGCACCTGGAGACACAGAATCTAGCGTTCCACTGAGAATTTGCCCTGGTGATTTCATGACTAGGGAGTCCCATCAGCTGGGGGCTCTGGTATGGACCGGGCATACCGCTGTCTCCCCAGCGCACCTGCCCTCCGCGGCGACCACGGGTCATGTTCCCTGGCCAGGACCGGGACAGACGGGGTACGATCAAGACCCTTGGCCTGGGCCTTTGTCTGAAGTCTGGACTTCACAGCAGTCCAGTGGCTGCTTCTCTCATCTGTAAAGCAAAGGGGGAATGAGATAGCATATGGGGAGTTGAGATCATATATGCTGGGCACACAGTAGGTACTTAAAAGAGTGAGCTTCCTTCCCTTTTGCCTTCCGTAGCCACAAAGCAGCCATTGGCACAGCTAACGGCAAAGAGCGGAGAGCAGAGGCCCAGTGGATCCCCTCTAGGAAACAGTGAGCCAAGTCTGCTGGCTCTGTTGTGACTAAAATGTGACATTGGCCATAATACCCATAGCAGGCCGGCCTCTGCGATACCCCGATGGCCCGTTAAAAGTCCAAAAAATGAGGGAAAGGTTCTGTTTCCAGCAGCACGTGGATTCCATTCCCATTCGCGTGAGATCGGGATAGCCGACTGAAAGGTCTCAGTAACTCAGTCCGGCGATGGCTGCCCCTGCCTCACAGCCGAAGGGGCAAGACTCCCGGTGACTCGGTCTCTCTCCCTCAGTCTCCCAGCAGGACCCGGGGCTGGGATTCCTGTCCTGTGCCAGCTGGCCACAGGCCACGTGGCTTTCCGATCCCCGGGAATGAGTTCATGCCGATCGTTGGTGTGGCGGGTGCTCCTGGGGACGGAGGAGGGCGCACCCGCTCCCCCGGGCTGCCTGCCGAGTGAAGTCAGAGCAAATGCGTGGCAGGAGGAGCGTGGGAGCCAGGACGGGGTGGGAGACCAGCCTGGTGTGTCCACAGGGCAGCGGGGGGCGGGGGGAGGCAGATAGTGAAATCTTCAAGTAAGAGTTATTACTTATTGCCGAAACCGGTTTGGCTCAGTGGTAGAGCATCGGTCTGCGGACTGAAAGGTCCCAGGTTCGATTCCGGTCAAGGGCATGTACATTGGTTGCGGGCACATCCCCGGTAAGGGGTGTGCAAGAGGCAGCTGGTCGATGTTTCTCTCTCGACGTTTCTAGCTCTCTATCCCTCTCTCCTCCTCTCTGTAAAAAATCAATAAAAAATGTATATATATATATATATTAAAATATATATATATATATTTTTTTTTTAAGAGTTATTACTTATCCACATACACACAGATACATTCCCCTGGAAGCATTCCTGATGAAGGGGAAGTCTGTTTTTCCCACCAGCTTCAGCCCCAGTCCTTTTCCCCACCCCAGATCGCCCTTCTATCATGTTGGTATGAATTCTTCTTGATCGTTGTATGCACACAGCACACATGTATGTGTGTGTGCCTAAGGTCACGCCTTCGCGGTACTGCGTGTCTGCTTCTACACCGCCGCAGTAAATACCTCAAATGTTACAGTAAAGCGATCACACAAATTGGTTTCCCACGCCCCAGGAAAGTCATGTTTACACTATACTATAGCCAATAGATAACACTAGGGCTTAAAACCGCACATGCCTCAAGTCAGAAATAGTCTGTTGCTAAAAAAAAAATGCTAACCATCCCGAGCCTTCAGCCAGCAAGCGACATTTTTGCTGGTGGAGGGTCTTCACCTTCAATTTGTAAAAAAAAAAAAATGTGCTGTCTGCAAAGTGCAGTAAAGTGAAGCGCAAAGAAAGGTGTGCATGTGTGTGTGTGTGTGAATGTGAGTGTGTGAATGTGAGTGTGTGTGTGTGTGAATGTGAGTGTGTGTGAGAGTGTGTGTGAGAGTGTGAATGTGTGAGAGTGTGTGTGTGTGTGTGTGAGTGTGTGTGTGTCTGAGTGTGTGAATGTGTGTGAGTGTGTGTGTGTGTGTGAGAGTGTTTGTGTGTGTGAGTGTGTGTGAGAGAGTGTGTGTGTGTGTGTGTGTGTGAGAGTGTGTGTGTGAGTGTGTGTGTGTGTCTGTGTGAGTGTGTGAATGTGAGTGTGTGTGTGTGAGAGTGTGTGTGAGTGTGTGTGAGTGTGTGTGTGTGTGTGTGTGTGAGAAAGAGAGAGAGAGAGAGAGAGAGAGAGAGACAGAATGGCAGCCCTTCCTCCATCCGCCAAGCCAGCAGTGTGGTGCGTCTTCCGTAGCCACAGCGCCCCCTGCCTCTCTGCCTCCCTCTTCCATCGTTCCCAACCCTGGCGATGACGTGGGCTGCCAGCTAATCCAGGGTCATCTCCCTGTTGGAACGTCGTCTGATTAGCAACCTCAATCCCGTCTGCCACCTTTCATGTGGTCACAGGTTCCGGGGACTCTGGGTTATCTCTGGTGGGTCATTATTCTGCCTTGCACAAGCTTCCTGAGACTTTTCTCTGAAGAGGGGGGGGGGCCTGGGTCTGGGTGAGGCCTCTCAAACAGGTACCCTGCAGCCGGCTTGACCTTGACCCGGACGGATGCTCAGCCGGTGCATGACGAGGGCAGAGGCTTGGGCATCACACAGCCCGCAGCCCATCGCAGCCCTGCCGTCGCCGGGAGAACTGGGACAAGCCTGTCTGCCCCTCCGGGCCTCGGTTTCCTCCTCTGTGCGTGAGGTCGATCACGTGGAGATGCTAAAGGACGGTGCAAGTACAGTGATTCGTACCGGGTGCACCTTAGTGAATGGCTCTCGCCCTTCGGGACGCCCTTGCCCTCCCTGTCCCCTCCGCAGCCGTCAGTGGGACGGCTGGCTGTGTCCCACCAATAGGAGGGGCCCGTGAGCCTAGCCTGAGTGTGACGCTCTCAGTGCCTGAATGTGCCATCCTTCTCCGACACCCAGACCTCACGCTGACCCGCTAACACCGCCTGCGCTGTCTCCCCAGGTTGGTGGTTCGTCAGCACCGCCGAAGAGCAGGGCTGGGTGCCCGCCACCTGCCTCGAAGGGCAGGACGGCGGGCAGGACGAGTTCTCCCTGGAGCCGGAGGACGGTAAGCGGGAGCCCCAGCCTCGCCCCAGCCGGGGAGCCCCGTGCTGGTCGTCACCATGGGGGGAGGGGGCGTCGCCCCCAGAACCTTCTTCACGTCTGCCTCAGAGGAGGCGTGAAGCCGGGCATGGGGTCGGGGTTGATGGGGGGCCTTTGGGATCTGCGCCCTGGTTTCCTCCCTGGAATGAATCTGGTGGCCAAGGTCCTGGGGCTGCTTCTACTCGTTCGCAGGCCGTCTGAAGCCATCAGCCGAGGGCTCTGCTTTCTCTGCTGGCAGAACAGCCCTGACTGAGCGTCAGTATAAAATCCTGAGCGTCAGGACTGGGGCTCACCCCCTTCACTCACCCCCACACACGCCTCCATTTCCCCGAGAACTTCCCCACGGGTGTCCCAAAGCGTGGCTCCTGCCGTGTCAGAAGCACTGAGGCCTCCTGACTCCCTTCCCCCCAAAAAACAAGAGGATGCGGTGTCTTAGCCGGTAAACAGAGGGTGGGAGGGCCAGGCAGGCGGGAGCTCAAACCTCCACTGCCCGCTTGCTGACCGAGTGGACCTGAGCCAGCGACGTGACCTCTGCCGCCTTTTCCGAAAGTGGGCGTGACGTCTGCGCCATGAGGTTCTCCTTTTTGTTATTCAATGAGATCCACCTGCAGAGCCCTTGACACAGAACCTCCACCCGTAATTCAACGCGAGGGCCAGGGATCACACAGCCGCGCCTGGCCTGAGCGCCCAGCGCGTGGGGCTTTGGGTGACGGCTTTTGAGAAAGCGCAAAGCCTGGTAAATAGATACGTGTCAGAACCCAGGGTGAGAGGGAGCCGCATCTCTCTGTGCTCAGAGGTCAGCAGCAAGAGTCACACAGGGCTTTGCGATTGGTTTCATAACGCCCACGGCCTCAGAGGAAAATTCAGACGTCTGTCGGCTTGCCCTGTTTGTGGACCCGAGAGGCAGTAGGGACCAGGCTAGCCTGGGAACACTGCGGAACCAGCGGGCAGGGGGACCCCCGCCTGGAAACTCAGCTCCCCCAAACAGTTCGTGACCGCCACGCCGCACGCCTCTGCAAGGGGCTGGGCGTCACCCCCATGTCACAGGTGAGAAAACAGGCTCGGAGGGGTGGAAAGCCCGCCTGGGGCCACCCAGCTGGAAAGTGGGGGGGGGGGGAGACCACTGCTTCCCGGGGTTTGTACCTTTTCTCCCCTCTGCCATAGGGCCTCTCAGAGGGCCTCGTCGTCATGCCAGGATAGGATTATGTCTGGCAGGTGCCTCTTCACTCAGCGTTAGGGGTAATGCTCAGGACCTTGGGCCTCGGGCGACCCATGGGCTTGGCGTCGACTCAGAAATAAGTGCTCTTCGCCAGGAAGGTGCGCTGGTGCCCTTGGTGCCCTTTCTGCTGGGAGTGCCTTCTTCTCACCTCTGCCTTCTGCCCTTCACCCCCACATGCTGCCCGGCCAGGCTCCTGGAGGTACTGGTCTCTGCCCCGGCCCCTGGGCCGCCGCCGGACCCTGGGGGACTTGTATGCCATCAGCTGGCGGCAAGGTGGTCACCGCGGAGTCTTCTTCCCGGTCGGGGCTGGGAGCCGGGCCCTCGCGTCTGCATGCGCCTCCTGCTCTGGGCAGCCTGTGCCTGCTGCATGTGAGAACGGGGTCGTGTCTGTGCCGTGTGTGTGTGTGTGTGTGTGTGTGTTGGCATGTAGGTTTGGGAGGAGGGAGCCTGGGGTTAAGAAACGATGTCTGGGGGCTGAGCCGGTGGCCTGTTCCTTTCCTCGGGCACAGTTGAGGGCAAGGAAAAGAAACGCACGTCACACTGGCGTGAACAAAAAGGAAAGTGTATCCACTCATCGCAGAAACGCCCAGGGTAGGGCTAGCTTCAGGCATGGCTGGATCCAGGGGCTGAGCCTCACTCTCGCCGCCTCTGCTCTACTCTCTGCCTTGCTGGAACCGTTGTCTCACGGCGAGCTTAGTTCCAAGCCCCTCCAGGGACACCCACTGCAGACGGTGCTTCTCCTTCAACACAAATCCCAGGAAGTTCCAGCTGCCCATGGGGGTCCCACACCATCCTGTATCCATCACGGTGGTTGGGGGGCGGTGGTCGGAGGGATGCCAGGCCAGGGTCACACTCACCCCTCTCCCTCCAGGAGGTGGTGAGGTTAGCCTTGCCCACACCCTGTGGGTGGAGTTGGATGGGTAGGTGGGCAAGACGCGGTGCCATTAGGCGCCACCGTTCAGTCTGGAAGGTCTGCCTTAAGCTTTGTTAGGGCCCCGAGGCTCTGGGTGCTGGAGAAACCCTGTGTGATCCAGCTCACTTGGGGTACTGGCCCCTGGAGTCCAGGGCCCGTAGGACTAACTGCACTGAGTCTGGGGCCCCACCAAGCAGGATGTCTGTGCACAGACAGGGTTGAGTTACCCCACCCCCCGCCCGCAGCTGCCTGGAGGAGGGGAGCAGCTGACGCTGCTGTGCACAGGATATGTGCAACCCGAGTCAGCTCAGCCCCGCGGAGCAGGTCAGTGGGCCAGATCAATAAATAAATAAACGCCCTGGGTGTCTCCCGCCTCCCTCTGCACCAGCTGGGCAGGCCCCAGTGTTTTCCCACAGGCAGAGTCAGCGCCCACATGCTAACCAGCCCACCAGCCCACAGCTGGCTCGCCGCTCCCCAGGGGCCGGGATGTAACCAAGACCGGAAAGCCCTCTCCCCCGGTTCCCCTGGCGCTCAGCTGTCGCCTGGCTCAGCAGCCGCAGCCCGCAGGCTGGGGAGGAAGCTGTTCTCTCTAGAGGGCCTGGAGCAGGCGTCTTCAAACTACGGCCCGCGGGCCACATGCGGCCCACAGAGGAGTCTGATCCGGCCCGCCAGGTTTTTTGGGCAGTGAGCGCAGCCGAGGTGTTACAGTAGGAATTAGTAGTTCATATAGTCTGGCCCTCCAGCTCTCTGAGGGACCGTGATCTGGCCCCCACTTTAAAAAGTTTGAGGACCCCTGGCCTGGAGTGTGACAACAGCCACCTTTGCAGCAGAGGTGGGAGGGGCGGGCTGGAGGCAGCTCTCGGAGGAGGCCGGAGGCAGGTGGTGCCCCAGGAGGGAGCGGGAAGGGAGACCAGAGAGTGGGGCGGAAGGCGCCCCCGTCATAGTAATGAAAATTGAAGCAGGCAGTCATTTTGCGAGATGCGTACGTCCATGGGTACAGATCTGATCATCATGATGCACACCTGAAGTTGATAGTGTTCGCTGCCAATTCTATCTTAATAAAGATATTCATTTAAAAAGTGAAATGGAACTTCAGGCATGGTCGGTTCCACAGGCTGAACATCCTGGAAAATGAAGATCCGTTCCCAGGCTCGTCATGAAAATGACCAGCCGTCTGCCTGGTAGCGACCTCGGCCTGAGATCAGGAGCTGCCAGAGCAGCTTGACCCCTGACCCTCCGCGGTGAGGGCTGCGGAGGGGCGCAGGCCGTTTGTCCCCCTGTGACGTGAGCAGGTGGCGCCCGCCGGGCCCCCGGGACCGTCCGCTCACTCACCAGTTACTCGGTATTCCTCGTGTCAGACTCGGCGTTGCAGACAGAGGAATGAGCGAGACAGACACACGGATCACTGCCTCCAAGGGCATTCCTATACCAGCAGGGCAGACAGACCCAAAACACGAGGAAGCATAAGTTTATGGTGTGTTAGGATGGAATTCCTTGTATTGGGGTGGGGAGGGGGGAGAGAAACGAACCTGGGTAAGAAGGAAGAGAATGCGGTGGGACTGAGCATTGCATGAGGCGAGGTCACGGAAGGTGACCTTGAAGCACAGACCTGAAGACGGCGAGAGGAACGTGTGACGCTGAGGGATGGGGGCCTGGGCCCTGCGTCCTGTTGCTGCATGTACAGGGTCGTGGGGGGCTACGTGAGGGCCTGCGGGTGCGCACAGTCGCCTCTGGGGGAGATCTGTCCCTCTGATGGGCAAGGACCGCTCACGGTCCTTGACTTTACCCCATCGCCCCTTTGTCTCTGCAGAAGAGAAGTACTCGGTCATCTACCCGTACACGGCGCGCGACCAGGATGAGATGAACCTGGAGCGAGGGGCCGTGGTGGAGGTCATTCAGAAAAACCTGGAAGGCTGGTGGAAGATCAGGTACCCGCAGCTGCCAGCCGGCTGGCTGGGTGGGCTTCCGTCGGGTGGGCTCCGGCCGCACCGAGGTCCGGAAGCCTGGGCGGAGGGGGCGAGGTTTGGGCCCGAGCCCTGAGAGGGTGTTTCTCCTCCGCGCTGTCTGGCTTCCCTCCCGCCTCAGATACTTCTCTAAAAACCCATCCTAAGCAAAAACCGTCTCCAAACACAACGAACCGCAGGTGGCTATCACCCTGTTGAGCAAGACTGGCCCCCACCTCCAGATGTTCCTCTCCACAAGGAACTGGGGGCTGGGCCGCCGTGTGTGGGCTTTCCCACCGCAGCCCCGCCCTGCGGCCAGTATGGCGCATAACCCCACACGGACAGAGCCCATCGTTTGCCCTCGTCTCTGAGTCTGGGGGCAGGGGTCCAGGGAGAGGGGAGAAGCATTTTAAACGCTTCGTCCCAGCGCCTTCGTCGGTGTGGTCACGTCAGAACCCATGAGCAGGGAGAGCGGGCCAGCTCGTGCTGGTCTGCCTGGTTCCTTCCCCAGGTTTAGCAATGAGTCCTGGGAACCCCCTCCTAGCTCACCCTAGTAACCAGGCTGTGGCCACAGGAAATGTGGGCGAGAGAGGAAGCCTGGGGTCCCCGGGACCCAGCATCTGCTGTGCTGTGAGGCTGGACATTAGGGCTACTCACGGGGAGCTGAGTGTGTGGCACTCCGTTCATTCCACAGACACACGCCGAGCGCCGAACTGGGCGTTGGGGACTTGGCTGGGATAACCACACTGCTTCTCACCGGCAGGCTCAGGAGCAGGGGCATCCATAGACCCCGGCCAGGGTGGCCCGCAGGGTGCTGGAGAGACACACGGAGAGCGGGGAGCACCAAACAGGGCTTCCTGAGGGAGGGGAACCCCAGAATTGGGGTCTGTGGAGGAGCATGACGGCGGTGCATAACATCTTGAGCGTATATGCCATCTTATCGCACGACACATCATCCTGGAACCTGGTGGCTCTGGAATTCAGGATGACATGTAGATGGCTCCGGGTCCCTCCTGAGGCTGCAGCGTCATGCCAGCCAGGGCTGCGGCCATCTGAAGGTTCCACCAAAGCTTGACAGGGACAGTCAGGATTTGATCCCGTGCCTCCCTCACCCAGAGCCCACGCGCCTCTGCACACGCTGCCTCCCGCTGGGGCTGCGGGTGGTATGCAGCTGACATTTCCCAGCCCAGACAAGGCTGATTCCTGCGCAAAGGGCAGGTATTTTAGAATTGGCGGACACCAGACTCTTCAGATTTCTATCTCCTTATAAATAAACGTGCTTTCAGTTATAAAGGACCTTTTTTCACTGTAACACGGTTCTACTTAGTTTGCTCAGTAATGTTGTTGTTGTTGTTGTTAATCCTCACCCGAGTATATTTTTTCCTCCATGTTTTAGAGAGATTGGAAGGGGGAGGGAGAGACCGAGAGAAACATCCATGTGAGAGAGACGCGTCAGTTGGTTGCCTCCTGCATGCACTCGGGCAGGGCCACGGAACCTGCCTTCCAGGGTCCTTGTTAGATGTCAGTGATACTTGCCCTTGACCGGAATCGAACCTGGGACCCTTCAGTCTGTGCACTGACACTTTGTCCACTGAGACAAACTGGCTAGGGCCTTACTTGTAATTTTTTTTACAGTAATTCTTTTTTTCTTTTTAGGCCACCAAAAATTTGGTTGTCTCCCCAAAAAATAAAATTGGGAGAGAGAGGGAAGATTCCAGTAATTCTTAATAAGATACGTGGCCCTATCCCCTATCATTGCTGGTCAGTTAGGTGTGTCCATTCCCCCAAAGGGGCGGGCCCCTAATTTCCGCTGACCAGACCAGCGCACGCAGGTAGGCGTTTAACCATCGGCTCTCCAAGGAGAAAATGCTCTTGAGTTGCGTGCTAACGTCCGTGGTATAAACACTCCCACCACGGTCAATCTCACGCGCCCCGCGCGATGTCACTGAACATGGTTGTTCAGAAGAGCCGGGCACAGGTGACCGTCACCAGCCGTGTGTGCGGCTCTAGGACGCCCGTGATGCAGACCAACCCCACTGGTCTGCCATTAAACTGAGTTCCACGCGGAGAATTACGGGATTCTAAAGCCGTGGTCAGCAAACCGCGGCTCGCGAACCACGTGCGGCTCTTTGGCCCCTTGAGTGTGGCTCTTCCACAAAATACCACACGTACGGTGCGACTGAAATCAGGCGCAAAAGTCGGTTTTTGGCTCTCCAGAGAAATGTCAACCGTGCTGTTGATATTTGGCTCTGCTGACTCATGAGTTTGCCGACCGCTGTTCTAAAGAGAACTCAGTGAGCTGGGCCGTCAGGGTCTCCATCACTCCACGGTCCGGTGTCAGCCTGGTGACCAGGAACCAGCTGACCAGGAACCAGCCCCCACCTGCCTCATCCCCCATCCCCGTCGGAATGCAGGAATGCGTGTGTAACCAGCGGGAACAGAGCTCGCCCACCCTGTGCCCGGGGCTGGAGGAGCTGCCAGGGAAGAGGCAGCAGAGCATGGAGGTTAGGGGCCCAGCACGGTGCCAGCCGCCTAGGGCTGAGAGCCCGTCGGCCACCTCCCGGCCTCGGATGGATGAGATCCATCGGCCGCTCCAAAGCACAGAGCCCGGGGCAGCAGGGGCCCTCCCGGTGCCCGTTACCGTTACCGTTACCGTTATTGCTGTCCCTGCGGCGATGGCTGTGAGGGGACAGGCATGTTAGCGGAGGCCACGTCCCCGTGCCAAGCCCATTGGCAGTTTTCCCTTTTACGGATTCGCCTCACTGGCACTGAGGCCCTGCGCACACAGAGATGCAGCCAGCCTGGCCTGCCCAGAGCTCGCGTTCCACCTGGGAGGCAGAGCGAGGGCAGCCGTGTCACAGGCAGTGGAGTCGTGGCCTGTGCAGGCCACTGGGCGCTGTGGAGGGAGGGCTTTGCTCTCCGTGAGGCCCGGGGAAGGCTCGGAGAGGACGTGGTGTAAGCAGAGCTGGGAAGGAGAAGCAGGGAGGGGCGGGGGAAGGGGCTTTGCGGGCAGAGGGTCTCCAAGAACGGGGGGCACAGGGGTTGAAAGCGCGTTTGGGAGGCTGCAGGCTGAGCAGGGTGGGTGGGACATGGGGGCTGTGTGAGAGCCGAGGCTGGGAGGCACGCAGAGACCACGTCGGAACGGCCTTGCCTGCCGAGCTCTGAGGGCTGTGGCTTTGCCAGGAGGCGGCAGGCAGCGTGCCAGCCTCCGGCCCTGGGCCCTTGTAACCCTTGCTCCCGCCATCTGGGCCCGGAAATGTGGTTCACAGCAGGCGTGTGGCTTCTCCCTGTGGGCCTGGCAGAACGACCTGACCAGCATCCTCCTCCTCCTCCTCCTCCCAGGTACCAGGGCAAAGAGGGCTGGGCCCCAGCCTCGTACCTGAAGAAGAGCAGCGGGGAGCCCTTCTCCCTGAAGCCGGGCCCCGGCTCTCCCGCCCACACAGGCCTCCTGGACCTGGATGGGGTTTCCCGGCCGCCGAACGCGGCGGGCAGGGAGAGGGAGCCGCTCAGCAGCCAGAGGGACGGCCGCTTCGAAGGCCGCCCGCTGCCTGACGGCGACGCCAAGCAGAGTGAGTGACAGCCGCCGGGTCCGGAGGCTGAGGGGCTGGGGGGCGAGGTTCTGGGCTCTGCTCCTCGGGCACTCCCCTCCTCCTGCAGATAAGAAAGTGGGGGCTCAGAAACCCCAGGTAGCTTGTTCCAGGTCATTCCGCCAGCAAGGCGCAGAGCCCGAGTGGAGAAACACCGCTTCCCTACTCCAGATCCTGTTTTCTCACGGTCTCACCGCGATCGAGACCTTGTTTCTCCAGCCCCTACTGTGCGCCCGGGATCTTTTTCTTTTCTTTTTTAATATATATTTTTTACAGAGAGGAAGGGAGAGGGATAGAGAGCTAGAAACAATGAGAGAGGAACATCAACCAGCTGCCTCCTGCACACCCCCCACTGGGGATATGCCCGCAACCAAGGTACATGCCCTTGACCGGAATCGAACCCGGGACCTTTCAGTCCGCAGGCCGATGCTCTATCCACTGAGCCAAACTGGTTTCGGCTGTGCCGGGATCTTACCATCATTCTCATGGACTCCACATAACCACCTCTGAGGGACTTCCTACTTTAATTTTTAAGTAATTCTTTAAATATATTCTTATTGATTGCAGAGAGAAGAAGGGAGAGGGGAGAGAAAGAGAAGCATGAGAGAATTACTGATTGATTTCATCTTGCATGTCCCCCCCCGCCCCGACCCACTGAGAATCGAGCCTGCAACCTGGGTCTACGCCCTGACCGGGAATTGAACCGTGACCTCCTGGTTCATGGGTCAACGGATGCTCAACCACTGAGCCACGCCAGCCGGGCACTAACTTTTATTTTTCAGATTTGAAAACAGAGAAATGAAGTGGTTTGTCCAAGGCTCCCCCAGCTAGTCAACGGTGGGGCTGGGCCTTGAACCCAGGCCCACCTGGCTCTGCACCCGTGCTCCCTCCACTGGCCCATTTCTGAGCTAGAGGAAGAAACAGCTGACCCTTTTAAGTTAGGTTCACGCCAACATTTCTTTATCCATCTTGCTCTCCGAGGCCCCCCCTTGTATAGTTTACGGCTTAATATCCCCAGCACGCCCGAGGGCAGGCCTCATTCCTGACGGCCACATCCCAAGGCCCCCATCTGCACGCCCGGAGCTCTGTCCGGGTGTCCAGAGCAGAAGCTAGTTGGAGGAGTGAAGTCACTTGTCCCTGGCTGGGCTGCTCCAGCTGTGTATAGAGGCTCCTTTAGTCCAAGAGCTTCCTGAGTTCCACCTTCTCTGCCCCCCCCGCTCGGAGAAAGCACTGGCGAGCCGTGGCAGGGGTCTGCCCAGCACCTGGTATCTGTGATTCTGTTCTTCCGTGGCCAAGAGCACAGGAGGGTCCCCATGAGCCTAGGGGAGCAAATGGAAACCGGAAACCTCGTGTTGCGATTGGTTCAGGTGCTTAAACAAAGACGCCCCCCACCACCATCACCAGCATACACCCTGTAACAACGGTGGCTTGAATAATTTAGACGTTTCTTTTTTTTTTAATATTTTTTATTCTATTTTTTTTTTTAGCGGGTGTTTATTTCTTAAAAAGTTCAGATACATGTCACGGGCTGCTATAACAACTGCGTGCAGCCAAGAATCTTATCACACTGCACCTATCGTGTGGTGCCCTCATCCCTCTAGCCTAGGATGGTTCACCACTAGTCCAACCAGTGAAAAGGAGGCAGAGAGAAGCGGCAGGCTTGACTCAGAAGCTGCCCCATTCCCGTTCTCTCACATTCTATTGACCAGAACTTAGTCCCATGGCAATACCTAGCTGCAAGGGAGTCTGGGAAATGTAGTCTTTATACAGTCACCTAAGTGTCTGGCTAACCTGCTTGCTATGTATTATAATAGAAGGCAGAGGGGAGATAGTTATTTAAGAGATGAGCAGTCATCTCCACAACCCAACCACCAAACTACGCCTCTGCGCAGACCCGTGCTAACCCAGCTCTGGCAACGCACGAGGTGCCTTTCTCATAGCCTGCCTTTAGCCAGTCACCCTCTTCCTGACCCTGAGGCCCTGAGGGAGGGCAACCCCACCTCCAGAGTAAAAATTCCTCAAGTCGTCAGCCCACGTTGGTTTGGTTCTGTTTACATGTTTGAAGTAGGTTTGCTCTAGCCCTAACCGGTTTGGCCCAGTGGTTAGAGCGTCGGCCTGTGGACTCAAGGGTCCCAGGTTCAATTCCAGTCAAGGGCATGTACCTTGGTTTGCGGACACATACCTACTAGGGAGTGTGAGGGAGGCAGCTGATCGATGTTTCTCTCTCATTGATGTTTCTAACTCTCTATCCCTCTCCCTTCCTCTCTGTAAAAAATCAGTAACATATAAAGCCTCCACGTTTGCCCTTCCTCTAAAGCTTTCCAGCGTTCCAGCACAGGCTGTGTCCTGAGCCCCTTCCGAATCCAGCTCTTCCCATGGGAAGGGTCACACGGCTCCTAACGCCTGTGCAGGCCGTTCTGCCCCACCTTGTGTAGGTCGGAACAGGCCTCCCCGGTGTCCCCTTCAGGAGTTTTATCTGCAGAATTCCGCACGTGTGTGACACACGCTCTCCTCTTTCTATAGGATCACCCAAGATGAGGCAGAGACCCCCTCCTCGCCGGGATATGACCATAGTAAGTAGCCCCTGCTTCTGGGGAGTGAGTGTGTGTGACACCAGCCCCTCAAACGTACCTCGCCCTCTCCCAAGATGCCTTCTTCCCGGGCACACCGCGGCCTGGAGAAGCAGGCTGGCAGGTGGCACGTGCCACTGACGGGTGGAAAGACAGGTTGCCCGTGGCTTTGTGGCAGGCCTCAGGCTGTGCCCTCTGCTTTCTGGGCCCACCTCCCTTTGTCTTATCTGTCTCCTCAAACAGGGTCACTCAAGACCGGAACTGCGATGAGATACAAATATCGTTTGTGGTGCCATTCTGATATTTGACTTGCATACATTTTTTTAAATTCTTTGTGTATCTTTCTTACCAATACGTTGAAAAATGAGCCCCCTTTTTTTCACGCCTGCCACTTAGTGAGCACCTGCTGCATGCCATGCAGTGCACTGGGTGCTCCACTCCATTCCCGTGTGGAGTGGTTGCAGTGGCCCCACCAGGCTGACCCTGGTATTAAGCCCATTCCACAGGAGAGGAGACTGAGGCTCCAGAAGGGGTGTGGTTTGTCCCCCGTCACACACAGAATCGGGAATAGATTCTCACCCAAGATGTTCTTTCCACCGCCTTCGCTGCCTCTGCAGTTCAGGGAATATTGTCTTGCCTCACATTTTCATGACTGTTGGCCAATGTTTCATCTCTGCGTTCTCAGGCCGAAGGGCCAGTGACCCATCTAGGAGACGATGATCAGAGTGATCTTCTTTGTTTGGTCCATGGGTCCACCAGCGCCCCTTGAGGATGATCGTGTGCCCGAGTCCCTTAGTGCGAGTACACACACACACACACACACACACACACACACACAGCATCTCCCCTCCCCCGGCGCCGTGGTAATGAGCTTCATGGGACTTAGCCCTGTGTTTCATCATTCCAGCCTCGGGGTCTCAACCTGCCCAAGCCCCCCATCCCACCCCAGGTGGAGGAGGAGTATTACACCATCGCCGAGTTCCAGACAACCATCCCCGATGGCATCAGCTTCCAGGCGGGCCTCAAGGTCGAGGTGAGCGAACCTGGTGTCCTACCCTTGATTCTTTTTTTTTTTTTCCTAAGTTATTGTAGTAACATCGGTTAATAACATTGTATAAACATTATATAAAGTTTTTGGCTTAACCAAGTCTTTTTTTTTTTTTTTTCCTTATGGTAAATTCTGCATCTTCTGTTTTCCTCTTCTTTCATTTTGCTTCCCAGTTCGTTTCAGTATCGCATTAGCCTTCAGAACTCATGGGTAGAACCACATTGTGTTAGCAGTGGCGCGACCAGGCGCTCCTGCCTCCTTGCCTGGTCTACGTGTCTTCCTAACGTGTGTAATGATGATGATGTAGGCACCTCTCTGTGCCAGGTCTGTTGCATACAAGTCTTCACAGGAGTTCCGAGAGGAGTCAGTATCTTCAGCCCATTTCACAGATGTACCTGAGACAAAGAGAGGCTAGGTACATTGCTCATGTTCCATAGCGAGTAAGTAGTGAAGCTGGGATTTGAACCTAGGTGTCTCTGGTTTTGAAGATCAGGCTCCTTTTCTTTCCTCCTTGCTCTTTTGATTTTGAATTTGCTTTTACTCGTAACAGCTCTGAGCTTCTCTCTAGTAAGTGAAAACTCCCACAAGTCATCATTAAGAACACAAATGTTTAGCGCTTTCACAACAGTACTTTGTACAGAGTGTAAGCTTGGCAAGTCCTCCCCGATGTATTTCATTTTGATTACTCTTAGTACGCACGATGGTTGAATTCACGGGTGCACCCACCATGGCTTGCATGCCCAGAGTCGTCTTTAATTGTTACCATAGCTGCCAAGTGTTGGAGGGATGCCAGTCGCCCTCAGGTGAAGGGCTCCCGTGTATCGGCGCCCTTTCTGGAGAGCGTCCAATGGGACTTAGGCAGATGCCTGCCACGTGCCCTGCTCTCTCGGTAATCCCTGCTGTAGCTTAATAAGAGGCAACGTCTGCCTTCCCGCACCAGCCACCTGCTGTGTGCGTGAGCTCCTGTGGCCAACGTGAAAACCCACAGCGGGTGTCACTGTTCTTACCACTGTCCCTTTGGTGTGGAACCTCGGCAATGTGGTTTGTGCAGGGCCATCTGGGCAGTAAGTGGTGAAGCCAGAACCAGAACCTGGGACTGCAGGCCCCGGAGCCCAGCCTCTGCCCCCTCTCCGAGCTGGGCGCAGCGTGCAGCAGCTGAACTGTGCCCGCATTTTATTACCCTGGCACGGCTCCTCCCCTTTCCGGGACAGGGCCAGAGAGCGGGAAAGCCTCAGGCTCTGAGCCCACCTGCACTCCCGCCTCAAGAGTCCTCAGCTCTCCTGAGGCTCAGTGCTGCATCTGTGAAATGGGATCATAACCCCCATGTCATGGGGCAGTTGTGAGCACGAGTCAGATGGCAGGCACAGAGCCTGCCAGAGAACCGGGTATTCATTGGCGTGGGCTGCCCTCACAGAAGACCAGTATGGGTGGTTTAAACCGCCGGTCCGCGGACCCCTGGTGGTCCGTGAGGTCCGGAAGTTGGCGACTGCTAGTTTAAACAACAGGTAACATAAGATCTTACATACGGAGGGGGAACCCACCCAGCCTTCCCCTCAGTGCGTGTGTGTCCCAGAGGGGGAAGGCGGTGAGATGACAGTGAGTTTCGCCTCCATCATCATCAGCTCCCCTGTGTGTACACTTGAGCAGGGTGAGGTGCCCACCTTTAAGGATACACATGTCTCATGCAGCATGGCCGTGAGCACCCGTCAGCCACTCCGTCTGTGCTCAGCCAAAGGAGCAGCGGCCAGGGCTGCTTTGGGCGGCCTATGCCTTTCCCCTTGAACTTCAGAATTGTTGCAGACACCACGGGAGGGCCCGTCCTGCATCCCAGCCACCCGAGTTGACTTGTAGCTGCATCCAGGTCCCCGCAGCTGACGGCTTCCTACCCCCCAGGTTACCTGAGGGCACCCCCCGGAGAGAGGGGAGCAAGCCTCTGGGGGACAGGACTGTGCGTCCCGGGGTGACTGCCCCCCCCACCCCCACACCCCCTGTGGGGAGGTCTGATTCTGCATGGTCTCTCGGAGGGTCCCTGGTGGATGAAGCCCAGTTGCCCAGAGCAAAACCTGCTCATAACAGGCCCTCACGCTCCCTGTCCCCTCACCCGTGACCTCCTGAAGCCATCGCCCAAACCACCTGCCTGTGCCCGTGTCCGTGTGTCAGGGCCTGCTTCCGGGGGAATCCAGAGTTAGACCGGAGCCCGCCTGCACGGCCGACGTTGCTGACACAGGATAGTCTCAGAGGCTGCTGTCCACGTAGACGTTGTCCGGGGACCTGCTGGGTGCCCATCCCGGCTTCCGGGACTCGGGTGCACGTGGGTCTCCGACACCCTCTGTTCCCCCGGCTCTGGAATCACACCTACTAAGTGCTTTCCTCTCCCCCCCCCACCCCCCGCCCAGGTGATCGAGAAGAACCTGAGTGGCTGGTGGTACATCCAGATCGAAGACAAGGAAGGATGGGCCCCGGCGACCTTCATCGACAAGTACAAGAAGACCAGCAGCGCCTCGAGGCCCAACTTCCTGGCGCCCTTGCCCAACGAGATGGCGCAGCTGCGGCTGGGGGAGGCGGCGATGGAGGGCGGCGCGGGCGGGGAGGCCGGGGGCCCCTCTCGGCCCCTGCCCGACGCCCCGCTCCCGCTCGGGGCCGCGGACCCCGGGGTGCCGAGGCCCAAAGACTGGAAGGGCGGGAAGGAGGGCCTGAGGAGGGCGCCCCCCGACGTGCCCGGCACGGGCTACGAGGAGATCGCCGACCTCGCCCCGGAGGAGAAGCCCAGCCTCCCTCCCCGGAAGGAGTCCATCATCAAGTCGGAAGGGGAGCTGCAGGAGCGCGAGCGGCAGCGGCTGGAGCAGCTGCGGGGCTCCTCGCCCAAGCCCCCCGGCGTGCTTCTGCCCATGGTTCCGGCCAAACACAGCCCCCCGGCCCGGGACGGCAAGAAGCCGGAGCCCAAGCCTGACAAGAGCAAGGTGTTCCAGCTGAGAAACGAGATGGGGCTGGAGTGCGGCCACAAAGTGCTGGCCAAGGAGGTGAAGAAGCCCAACCTCCGGCCCATCTCCAAACCCAAGGCCGAGCCCCCGGAGGAGAAGCCGGAGGCCGCCCCCCAGAACCCCTTCCTGAAGGCCAAGCCTCAGGTGAGGCCCAAGCCAGCCTCCTCCCCCCGGGTCGAGGCGCCTCCGGGCGAAGAGCAGCTGGACATCTGCAACCTCAGGAGCAAGCTGCGGCCCGCCAAGCCCCCCGAGAAGCCCCCGCCGGACGGGGAGAGCGGCCCCCAGGCTGCTGGCGGCCAGGACGCCGGCCCCAGCCGCGGCTTCCTCCCCGGGGAGGGGCCCGGTCGCGCTCCGGACGGGACGGGCAAACAGGACGGGCTCGGCCCCAGGGAGGTCCCCTGCAGGCCCCCTCCGAAGCCGGCCAAGGCCGCGGACGCCGCGCCCAAGAGTGTGCCCGTGCCTCTCCGAGAGGCCCCCCAGGAGGCTCCCCAGCAGAGACCCGTGATCCCGCCCCGCAGACCGCCGCCCCCCAAGAAAGCCTCCGCCTCCCCCCGGCCCCTCCCGGAGCCCGCGGGGCCGCAGCAGCGCGAGGCCGGCGAAGGCAGGGCGCCCCCTGCCCCGGGCCGGGCCCTGCTGGTCCCTCCCAAAGCCAAGCCTTTCCTGGCCAACTCCTCGGGGGGCCCCGAAGACCCCCGGGGGAGAGGCGGGCCGGGCCCGCGGGGGGCGGGCAGGCTGATGGGGGAGAGCAGGGAGAAGGCGGCGGCCGCCCCCCTCCCCGGCGCCGACAGCCCGAGGGACCTGTACGTGGCCGTGGCCAGCTTCGAAGGGGACGAGGACGCCAGCAGCTTCCAGGAGGGGACGGTGTTCGAGGTGCGGGAGAGGAGCAGCAGCGGCTGGTGGTTCTGCCAGGTCCTCGGCGGGGCGCCCGCCTGGGAAGGCTGGATCCCCTCCAACTATCTCCGCAAGAAGCCCTAGCCCCCCGCCTCCCGGGGCGGAGGCCCCGAGCCCCCGCCGGGCCCACCCACGTATTTAATACGCCTCTTAATTTATCGTCCTCCGCGGCTTCGAGGCAGGCAGGCAGGCTCCGGGGGGCTGTGGTGCCTTCCCTCCCGTGGGTGGAGACGGCCCCGGAGGCGCCTCGGCCCCGCCCTGGCTTTCTCTCCACTCGCACCCCTGCCTTAAGGCCGGTGGCGTCGCCACCCCGCTTCCCTGCCCGCCCGGCAGCGGGACCGTGACCCCCCAGGCCTCCGGGACCCGAACCCGCCACGTGGAGAACCCGCGGAAGGACTCCCGGTGTGTGGATCCCGCGCAGCGAAGGGCAGACCCGGGCAGCCGTCCAGCCCGTGGCAGCTCGCTCCACGTCCAAAAGGCCGGTGACTTTCTCACCCCGTTTCCCAAACGCCCGGTACCAGGAAGGACTTTGCTCCGTAGAGGGGGGCACAGTGCCCGATCCCGGGGGGTGTCCTTCTGTCCGAGGCCTCCGGCCCCCGGGCCTCTCAGCTGCCCCCCGAGTGCGTGGGCCTGGGGGTCCGCGCGGGCCGCCGCCTCCCAGCTTCTGTCCCGGGAGCCTGGTCCGTCCTGCAGGGGCGGGTCCAGCCTGGAGCAGGTGCCAGCCTCCGGACAGTCCCCGCCCGGGGCACCCCGCGCCTGTCCACTCAGAGCGAGGATCTCCGTGTGTGTCTGAACGAGGAGGACCGTGGACAGCCGTGCTCCGTGCCGAGCGCCCCTCTGCCGAGTAGCGAGTCGGTGCCAAACGGTACTTGGCACTCCGCGTTCGTGTTTAACCCGCACAGCAACCCTCTCTGGTGATATGATGACCATTTTACAGAGGAGGGAACTCGGGGGCTAGGAAGGGGAGGGAGAGCCTTGGGTGCTGGGGCCCCGGAGGGAGAGAGCGTAGGGAGCAGATGGAGCTGGCTGGGGTGGCCTCACATGCCAGCCCGGAGGGCCCCTGGTGGCTCCGAGACCAGCCGCTGGTTCTCCGTCAGGCTGAGCATAGCAAGCAGGGGCCCCCGCAGGGGTCAGGGGCCCGAGGGCCAGGCAGCGCCTCCTGTCCTCCTGCTGCTGCTGCCCGCTCCTCTCTGGCTCTCCTGGTTCCCTCCCCTCCCTCCCCCGCCGACGCCCCCTGACTGTCTCACCGGGAGGAACCCAGGCAGCCCTCCCACCCACGTTGATGGTGTGGCTCACGTGGAGTCACGGCCACATACGGGACTAGAACCAGGACCCGGGGTTTCGGGCTCCTGGCCCAGAGCTGCCTGTGGGCCGGGCCGCCTGAGGGTGAGGGGGCAGCCTCCTCCCCACCCCCCTGCAGGAGAGGACTGGCCCTGTCCTGCCCCAGAGGCTCCGAGTCGGTGTTCATTGGCTGCCAGGCCTCTGGGACCACAAAGCCGGCTTCCCTGGGGGTGCTCGCTGCCCACCTGCAGTGCCAAAGCCCCCCCCCCCCCCCCCGGCTCTGGCTGTGTCTGCAGGAGGAGCCTCCTCAGACCCCAGACCCTCTCTTCCCTTCAGCCCGCCTGTAAGTCCCATCCCCGCAAACCAGGGGGCGGGGCCCGGAGGTGCTCCCCGCTGCCCCTGCTCGCCCCCTGGCCCCTAGGGGAGGGGGGAGAAGGGAGAAGGCTGGAAGAGGGCCACCCCCTCTTCCTGGTCCCCACCGTGGGAGGAGGCCCCATAGCATGTTGTCCTGCGTGTTTGATCCACTTCGGTTCACTCCCCTGTGATGAGGCTGTTACGCAGGGTTTGACTACATTTCAAGACAGAACTCTTAAATTTTTGTGTTTTTTGTCCTGGTTCACTTTCATGGAACTTTCCAGGCTCTGCCTGAGTTCCTACCGCGCCAGGCGCGGGGCCGCCAGGCCGGCGCGGCCCCTGCCCGGCTGGAGGAGCTTCGCCCTCCGTTTGCTGACTCCACTGAAGGTGCTTGTCTTTGACCTCATACCCTCCTCCGGGGATCAGCCGGGCGGGCAGGGACGTGTTCTTTCTCTGGGCAGAATGATTTTCTGCAAGTGAAAGAACCTGCCTTTATTGTTGTTGTTGTTGTTGTTCCGATGGGAACTGAAGGCCCTAAAGCCACATTCCTCTTGTTCACTGCTCTTTCCTCAAGATGCACTTGAGTCCTGAGACCCCTCCCTCTGCATCTGGAAGGGGGGCCTTGGTGGCAGTGGCTCTCCCTCGCTGACCTTGACTGTGGACTTATGTTCACACCCTCCAGGACTGTGGCCTCTCTTCTGTGAGCAATTGGCAGAGCCAATGCAGAACTCGCCTGGAGTTCCCGCCATGGGGATCGGGGATCGGCCTCGGGCTGTAGCAACAGCCCCCACCCAAGCTCCGGCAGGCCACCGGGGCTCACTCACGCACACACACACACACACACCCCTTAGCATGGTCCTCGAGACAGCCCTGGGAGGTGCGTGAGGTCAGCCCCGGTCTGCAGTGAGAAAATCCAGGTTCAGGGGGTGAGGCCACATTCCTGTCTCCATGCAAATAGCAGCAGTGACCGCGCTGAGCCTGGGATCCGGGGTTTGTCTCCCACGCCCGGGACCTCCGCCCCCGGGAGGCGGGGACCCTCCCTGTGGCTTTGAGTCTCTCCTCCACCTGCCCCATGATTACAGGCCAGTGCTCCTCTGCTCCCCTGCTTGCTTCCTGCATTTCATCTCGCATCTTTGGGTAAAACTGCAGCTCGGGGTGCCACCACCATCTTTGGAAAATCCAAGTTTTAGGGTTACCACAAGATGAAACGGGCCTTTGCTGACATTTTTCCGCTCGGAGCCTCTTTGCCGTTTGGTGGGGGTATGTCCTTGTCCCCGGTAGAGGCATGGGGAGGGCCAGAACCGCTTCTACAGAATCCGAGGCCCCCTCCAGCTTCAGCCTTTGTGACCCCAACCCCCGTGGTTTCTCAGGCTGCGTTCTCGGCCTTAAATATCCCTGAGCCCACAAGGGATTCATTCCCGGGAGGAAGAAGAGAGCAAAGGCCACATTAAAGGGCAGGTGCGGCTCTCCCCGGGTCTGGAAGGCCTTGGCCCGTACCAGGTACCGACCGGCACGGGGAGCTCCCGCCCTCACAGAGCGGAACTGGACATCAAGAAAGAGCAGGTCCGGGGCTCGGCCTTCATCCTTCCGCTGTGCCAGGTCTCCACCCATCGGGTCCCCCTGCTCCTGGGAGGTCCTGCCCTTGTCTCGGGACTGTGACAGTGGGCGCATCACAGCCTTAGCCATCCACGGGCCATCCTTCAGGGCTTCTGCTGCAAGCAGCCATGCCATGCCATAGGCCAGTGGTCGGCAAACTCATTCGTCAACAGAGTGGCAAACCGCAACTCGCGAGCCACAGTATGCCGGCCGCTACCATAGACCAAAGATGACCTAGTGTCAAGTGCTGGCCCGAACGAGTGGCCATTGGCTCATGCGGAGGAGGCCTGAGGGTGCAGGGCGCCCTCCACTGGCCTGGAGGAATTGCTCAGGAGGCGCCACCGCCCATGCAGACCACCTGCCGAGGACCCTTCCCACCGCCCTGACCATCCGACCATCCGGCTCTGTGGGGCGAGGCCTGTTTCTGGCGCTGCCCTGCGCTTCCACATTCTATCCTCCTCTCCATTTCTGCCCTGACCTCCGGAGGAGGCCCCCTAGTTCCCGCCAGGGACCAGGGGGCTCGATCTCTTTCCTGGAGGAAGCCAGACCCAGGGCCACAGCCAGCACTTTTGGGGTCTTCTGTAGACTCGAGGTGCCCCGCCAGGCTTGTGAGAGCAATAAGCAATTCTGAGGCCACAGGGGGTGTCCCTACAGTCCCCCTCTATATGCCCGCCCATGCCTCTGTGCCCATCTCACTGCTCATGGCGCCCCCTCCACGTCCGGGGGTGGTGAGGAGCAGTGGTCACCTCAGCCACAGACACGTGTCCCACATCGGGAAGCCGTCACGTCGGCGGGCCATCCCTGCGTCCCTCCAGGAGCGGCGGGCTTCGGCGTGTCCACTCCCAGGACGATGCTGGCGGTCCCTGGACACTCCCCTCTCCTGTCCCCTTCGGCAGATGGACACATTCTGGTGGCGCTTTTTGTTTCCTTTTTAACACAGAAAAAATACGTGAGGATATATAATGTGAGGGGGGTGGTGGTGAACCATTAGCTGTAGCATGTATAGACTGTATACTTACCATTAGACTTTTTTCTTTCCCATTTTTTTAAATAAAATAAATAGTGCTTGACTGGTTTCAAGCGTCCTTGTGAAGATGCCGTGTCTGTGACTTATTGGGCTGCGGAGCGGGTGCACAGTTTCTGGCCTGCGGGTTTGAGGTCCGAGAACGGCAGCGGATGTGAGCGTTGCTGTGTGGGCATTGCCCGGGAACAGGGCTGACCTCTCTCTCTGGGCCCTGTGCACCTTGATTCTGCCAACAACGTTGTCAGAGAACCAAAGAGGAACTGTGTCTCCCACATGGTAGCTCCGCCCACACTGGAGCACGTGGCATGGCCAGGGAGTCAAGCTCCTCCTGTTGCCTGCCAGGCAGGTGCGTGTGGGGCAGACTGGGGGATCTGCAGGGACTGCCCAGGCCATCTGCTCCTGGGAGGTGGAGGGTATTGCCTGAGCTTTTTTATTATTATTATTATTATTATTATTATTATTATTTAATATATTATATTGATTATTTGACCACAGTAAAAAAAACACACAAAAAAACAAGAAAGCAGCTTAGCAAGTCCATGTTCACATCAGCTCTACCTTGAATTCTCTCTGAGCTACAACCCTTAGCCAGTCCCTCCCCCTAATTCCAGCTGTAACTCTCCCCACTCAGGGCAATCCAGCTTTAATACTAGTGTTCACAGCATCACAGGACCCTATACTTCGAATGGACAGCTGCACATGAACTTGGAAGTCTACTTGCTATTGGCCTGACCCGGAGAAATCCGAATGGATTTCCCCATTGTCTGTTGGCTGCTGACTAGGCTCATTTCAGCTGATTCATTATAATAAAATAATTAAACAAAACTAAGAGTGTCTAAAGGATAAGCTAAAAAACTTATAATGAAAAGATCTAATTTTCCACTGTGCTTCAGTGGCCAGTCTTAAATGCGTCTGCCTTGGGCCCACGGACCCCGCTTTGTAAACCGCTGACCAAGGAACGGTGATGGGTGCTGGGTCAGACAGAGCTCGGTGTGAGGCTTCGCATCCCCATCTGTAAGACGGGGGCCAGAAAGCCTTTCCCACGGAGCTGGGAGGAGGCCTGGAAGTCATGTGTGCCTCACACGCGGAATTAATATTCTCCAAACGCTCTCGCTGCCCAGTGCAGGCGTTGGCAAACTGCTTAAAGAGTCAAATAGTAAATATTTTGGGCTTTGGGAGCCACGAGGCAAAACCAGAATGTTATGCAAGGACTTACATAACTGCTCAAAAGGCAGCCATTTAGCCTGTAAAAACCATTCTTAGCTCTGTACGAAAACAGGCGGCTGGCGGGGTGAGGCCCTGGGGCAGCAGTTTCCCACCCCCACCCCCCCACCCCGGCCCAGGGCAGCTTCATCGCCTATTTTATTACTTTCCTCTAAATGCAAGTTTTTCCACCGCGCGTTTATGGAACATCGGCCCCTCACATGATCATGGCACAGCATCGTGTGGCCAGATCCACTTGGCAACCACCGTGCGAGCATCTTCCAAGCCTCCTCCTCGGGGACCCGAGTCACACGCCGCCTGTGAAAGGCCCTGAGAAGCTGCCATCGCGAACCCGGTTACCCTGCGCTGATCCCGTGTTTCCTGATGGCATCTGACCACGAAGTTCTTTTTCTCCACCCAACGCCGAGGCGCATCCCACAGAGCGTGCTTCGGGAAATGCCGTCGTAGATCCCAGAATTTCATCATTACTCAGAGCGTCACGGAGGTCAGCTGAGTCCAGGCCCCATCGAGCGAGCATCTGAGGACTGTGACTTGGCCGGTGTGTCTTAGGATCTTCCGCCGAGTAGCCCGGCCAACGCTCGGTCTTCCTTTGGCAGGAGCTGTGCTCTTCTCCCTGGGTGGGTCTCGGGATCGCGTGGAGGGCATCGGGAGGTCCCTCTGCGGAGGGTCAGGTGCCTGAGAGGGCACGTGGGCACGGTGGGAAGTAGGCAGCAGCCACTGGGTGTCCTTGGAGGAGACTGGAGAGCCAGGTCCTGTCTTTGCTGATGTGAACATGGACTTGCTAAGCTGCTTTCATGTTTTTTGTTTTTGTTTTTGTTTTTGTTTTTTACTGTGGTCAAATACACTGCTTCAGAGAACTCACGGGTTTTGGGGAGGGCACTCTTGTGGGTTGCAAACTGCTCTCTTCTTTTTTAAAAAATATATTTTATTGATTTTTTACAGAGAAGGAGAGGGATAGAGAGTTAGAAACATCGATGAGAGAGAATCATCAAGCGGCTGCCTCCTGCACACCCCAAACTGGGGATGTGCTCTCAACCAAGGTACATGCCCTTGACCGGAATCGAACCTGGGACCTTTCTGTCCACAGGCTGACGCTCTATCCACTGAGCCACACCAGTTTCGGCAACTGCTCACTTCTTGTTGTATCTTCACGTGGTGGGAAGAGACCAAATTGGCTCTCTGGCCTCTTCTCAGAAGAGCACCATTCTCACCTATCAGGGCCCCACCCGCACGGCCTACTCACCTCCTGAGAGCCTTGCCTTCACATATCACATCGGGGATTCGATTTCAACATATGAATGTTGAAGGGACACAGACATTCAGCCCATAACATGTGGTAAGTCAAACTTGGTTCTCTTCTCATCAGCCCGTGATACTGGGAGTACCAGCCCGGGGCTCCGGTGTTTATAGAACGCAGTGGTTGGTGGAGGTTGGCATTCATATGCCTATTCCTCTTTTTTAAAAATATCACCAAAATGGAAATGCAGAGTGTAAATGTTCCCACAGAGACGTTTTATACCCGAGTTAAGAAACACTGTTTCTCTGTTTCATCATAACCCAACTCTGCACGGGGCCAGGCCCTGGGGCTGAGCAGACAGACATTCTCACTTGGAAAGTCTCTTTGCCACCAGCCTCTCCGCTTCCCGTCAGCAGCCTGGGCGTGTGGAAGAGGGTGCACAGAAGCTCTGGGTTTGTTCTGGAAGGCACTCAGCAGTGCCGGGATCACCTGGTGACTCAGGTCCACGCCGGGGCTGGCTCCTGGGGGCAGCACACAGCAGCTGTGCGCTGAGAGATACCCAGAGCCGCTTCTGGAACTGCTTGTCTACCCCAACATTCGTCAGTGGGGGAGGGAGGCAATTGGGAGTCAAGATTGAAGCAAGTTGACCAACAAATTATTTGACACATGTTTATACTAAACAGGGATGCGTTGTGCAATAGAATATAAAGCTTGCCTGCACTTTTAAGAGAAAACTGCAGACTTTGAAGAAATGGTTTCACTGGGCAGCTCGGGGTCAGCCCCAGGCCCCAGGCCCAGGCTTCTGAGGGAACTTAAGAAGGTCAAGTTTGAGAAGCTATGTGACTCATCAGCAAGGAGCTTTAGACCTTTAGACCTTCCGTGAAGGTCTTAATTTCGGTCCAAACCAGATGCCCCATGGAGGGGGGAGGAGCTTAGAGTGACCCTAGGAGTCAGGACACTCCATGCCAGTGCTTACTGCTTCTCAAAGCAAATGCTTTTTTTTTTTTTATTATTTTTTTAATATATTTTATTGATTTTTTTTTTTTTACCGAGAGGAAGGGAGAGGGATAGAAAGCTAGAAACATCGATGAGAGTCCTGCACACCTCCTACCAGGGATGTGCCCACAACCAACATAACATGCCCTTGACCAAAATCGAACCTGGCACCTCTCAGTCCGCACGCCGACGCTCTATCCACTGAGCCAAACCGGTTTGAGCTAGTTACCTCTATTTAATTACCTTAAGAAAACAATGTGGGCCTAGCTGGCTTGGTTCAGTGCTGGAGTGTTGACCTGTGAACCAGGAGGTCACGGTTCGATTCTCCAGTCCCGGCCTTTTCCCCGGGTTGTGGGCTCCATTCCCAGGGTGGGGCATGTGCATGCAGGAGGCAGCCGATCAATGATTCTCTCTCCTAATTGATGTTTCTATCTCTCTCTCCCTCGCCCTTCCTCTCTGAAATCAATAAAAAATATTTTAAAAAAGAAAACAACTTGTTAATTTTTCAGCTAAGGAGTACCAGTTTGGGGGTGAGGGGTGGGGGTAGAAAGGGAACACCTGAATGCCCACAGGTGCACCTCCAACATGTGGCCTCAGGACCTGGGACTCCTGTAAGACCAAGTGACGTGCAGGTGCTGTTGCCATGCCCTGCCTCTCCTCACCCACTCACAGGCCCAAGTTCAGGGAAAAGGATAAGGGTTCCCACCTCTGTGCTTATCACTCATCATCGAAAGCTGGATAGTCCAGCAATAACTGGATAGTCCATCATCGAAAGCTGGATATTCCACGGCCCTTCTGTGTGGGTTGAAAGACAGCTGCCCTATGGTAGGCTGGCAAGTGGCTTTGGTGGCAGGGAGAAGGGAGAGCTGGCATCCCTTCAGACTACTTGCCCTCCTCCAGCCTGGAGGGGCAGTATGCTCCCTGCAGAGCCAAAGTCCGACCATCACCTCCAACAGCGGGTCCGTAACATCGGCAAAGAACACACACTAGCCGCTCACGTCAGTTATGAGCGCAACATGCCCTGGCTGAGGTGCCTGCACAGGCATCCCTGTGGCCCCCAGCAGACCCATGACAGACGCACTTCCAAGGGACAGAACTGCCTTGGCACAAGATGACTGAGTCTAGAGCCCGTATGGACATCCTGACACCATCTTCCTGCGTGAGAGCAAGGAACGGCCAGTGGAATCCTGGGGCTGCTCCGGCCAGGCGTGGTGCTGGGAGCGGAAGATGGAGGGAGATATGACTAAGAGAAGTATCATCTAGCCCAGTGGTCGGCAAACTCATTAGTCCACAGAGCCAAATATCAACAGGACAACGATTGACATTTCTTTGGAGAGCCACATTTTTTAAACTTAAACTTCTTCTAATGCCACTTCTTCAAAATAGACTTGATGTTTCTATCTCTCTCAGGTCGTGGTGTTTTGTGGAAGAACCACACTCAAGGGGCCAAAGAGCTGCATGTGGCTCGAGAGCCGCAGTTTGCCGACCACGGGTCTAGCCACAAAGGCTGACCTACAAACAACCGCAGGAAACGGGAGAATCCTAAAAGAGCAGCTACACAAGATGTTGGGAGGGAAACTCGCCTCGGGGTGAGGATCAGGAAAAGCTTTCT